TGCCCGGTCAAAACTCTTATTAATTTTCTAAAGATTCAAGTCCTTTCGTTTAAGCAATGCTAAATATGTATCATTAGGTCAAACAACTTGCAGATATCGAAGCATTAGGCAATCGAAATGTGAGTGAAATTGTTCGTATAACAGATAGCTATGATAATCAAAGTCATCAACAACGGATTTAAGTTTAGGCTTTTGTTGGAGGGACGTTTGGGATCGGAAAATGTCGGCCCTTTCCGAGTTATAGCGAATGACGCGCAAGTTTATGAGTACGACGCCGGTTTCATTACGTTTATACGTATTCCGTTTATGGTTTACGTAATTGATAAGTGGGGTAACGTATACCATTTATAGCTCCATATATTACAGTATGTATTATAAAGCTTTGTTGAACTTCTAGTATTAATCGATTCGAAAGCGGGGTATAACTTATCCAATTAATATATGACCGAAATAATGAGGTTTTCATACTTCTGTGATTTCATACTAATGTGCGAACACAAAGTGAAATTACAAAGTTCTAATTGTAATCATTGATTGATTGCACATTTTTTATTGTTACAAATAAAAAATATAAAGAAACAAACGACGATATGCAAAATAGCAACGAAATTGGACCACTTTTCGAATCATTGTAAAAAACGAATTCAAAAATGCTGTGCAAAAGTCATGTTTTAAATCACAATATTTAAAATACCATAAACCGCGTATTATTACAAACCTATTAAAAGTAACATCGTCAATAATTCTTATTCTATTTTTACAAGCTAAAATCCCTGGTATTTGGGATTACAAGTTATAACCTAAATAAATAATATTATGATAAAACATGGCAACACGGGCCGGGCCCTTGCGAAAATTTTGACTAACGCAAGGAGCTTTAGGCAGTTTTACCAAATACCACGGACGACGACGAGGTGGCGCTCGCTAGCGGTTTTTACTTTGACGTGAGAGAAACCCCATCTTTAGTCTCCCCGTGGCCGCGGCTACTGCAAAACATCCGAAACGTCGGGCCGTAGTTAAAATAATTTCCAAAAAAGTTTAACTGATATATATCGCATTTTAAATCGTTAAAGTGTTTTATTTAAATGTAGTATTTAGTAATTGTACTATTTAACTACTGAACTATTTAAAAATAATAAATAAATATATACTAAATAATTAATAAAGAACCATACCGTTTTAAACAGGAATTCGAACACAAAAGCATTGACGAAAATCCATTTATGCACTGACAGAACGAATTCGAACAACGTTGTTTTATGTTTTCTATAAAATATCCTTGAATGGCTCCGAGCTTTATGGGCCACGGAGATCAAGTATTTTCGTAGAACAAAGCCCGACCGCAAGTTTTGTCCTGTCCACTATTGTACTAGTTTATTGTACGCCAGTCGATTGTTCAAAAATAATAAAATATCAGTAAACACTGGTAGGCTTCGGCTTTTATAAAAATTCCGGATAGTGAGCTTTTATTTCATTCTGGAAAATAAAAACTGAAATGTTTTAAATTTCAACTATCTTGATATCCAATGAGGAAAAGGAATTAAGAAGAGGTTTTTTTAATGGTTTATCAAACATCACCTACTCAACATTCTCAGTTTAATATAAGGTAAGACTACAGAGCATAACACTTAATAATTAAGAGAAATCTAATTTCATGGATGTTATTTTCTCGCAGAACTTGTAGAACACCTAAGTGAAAGGATTTCATGTATTTTATGAGAATATTTTTATTAATATGTACAAGTGTAATACTGTAACATGTTTGTAAGTATCTATATCTATACTAATACATAAAGCTGAAAAGTTTGTTTGTTTGTTTGTACGCGCTAATCTCAGGAACTACGGGTTCGAATTGAAAAAATCTTTTTGTGTTGGTTAGAACATTTATCGTGGAAGGCTATAGGTTATAACATCACGCTGTGACGGGTTCAAGACACCCAAAAAGTATGTATAAAAGAAAGAAATCGCGACCTATGTCGTAGAGGTTTGAAAAAACAAATTTGGATTCCTAAAATACCTACTTTAAGCGAACGAAGTCGCTGACACACCTAGTTATAGATAATGTCAAACAATCTCGCGTGCGTTAACTTAGATAAGCTACGTAGCTGAGTGGACACCTTTTCTGAACTATATTATTGTATTTAAAGTTATTACTCATTTTTATAAAAAAATACGAGTTAATTTTGGTGGGTAGTTTGACAAGTGACGCCAACAGAGTATACAAAGACATAAACGGTCAACGTAGTGTTATTATCCGAGGAATTCTCTTTGTTGTGTAAGCGAATAGCGGTGGGCGAAGCGACGTACCATGAAATTGCTGCAGACTTCAGTTAATAGACGCGATAATTTACAAGTTACATCGTCAATTTTGTAATCGTTTATATTTTAAGCATTTCCGGTTTGTTTCATTTCGATATTTAAATGCAACAAAATGTTCTCTACTTTTCTGGCTGAAACTCCTTTTTGACTTAGTATGATGAGTTTTACTTGAAGGGAAATAAATCGGTTTGAAGCTGAATAGAGATTAATTAGCTAAAAAGTTACTGCCTGTTTGCGCAAGTACATATAAATATATATATATATAGAAATGTACAGTGACTAGGTCCGTGTATGTAATTGTGTTTTCTTGATACATGAATTATTTGGACATCACATTACACATGCCTCAACGTACTCCACATACCCAGTCACAGTTATAACTATATGCTAACGAGACAGTCTCATCTAAGTTATGTCATAAGTGACATAACTTTCTCAGAAGTTAGATATAAGCATCTAACTAGCTCAATATAGAATTGTATACGTACTTATCTAAGCAATGTTCATTCTATTATCTTGATAGTTCATCATAGTTCTTAAGTTGAGCCCGATTTGAATCTAGTGAGAGTGTATAGTTGCTAACAAAGTTAGTGCTTACTATGCACTTTGCATCCTATCCCAAGGAAGGAAGCCACGTCCGCGCTTGCTAAGATCTTCTACTACGAGTAACTATACAATCTACACTGACAGGAACAAAGGCAGTAATCTTATCATTATTACACACCTACAACGTATTTCCTTTCTTATTTTGTAACTAAACAGTGAAGTTCGCTTTTGAAACATTGCTTAAATGAAAAAAAAGTTTAACTGTTTCAAGAATTTTCAATACCAATCCCTGGATGCAGTTTATCACAAGATGGGCTCAACTAGGCGAAAAGAAGAACGTGGTAGACAATTTTTAAAGTGGCATGACAAGTTTTAATGAAACAACTGGCATAATCTAGGAGAGAATGGCTGAATAGATTGGAACCGAATAAAGAAGCTTACTCTATAAAATATGGATTAATACAATAAAATTTGTTTTTTTCATTGATTAGTTTCTAAAAAATATAACACGATCCTGCCATTTCGTAAAAAAAAACAACAATTCTTATCATAGAACAATAATTACGATTACGAGTTAGACATGTTGCGCATTAATTTTCTTGATAGTAGCAATAAAATAATCCTGTGTCCTCAGATTTGTTACATTAATTTTACCTATACCTGTAATAAAAATATTTCCAAAAAAAAAATAGTTTCCATCAAAGAAAAGTAAAATTTCTCATAATGAGTATTTCGAAAATTTGTTTTAGCACTGCTTGCTTTAATCTTTTGAAAATGACAACACGCATTTCATAGTTATCAACGATTGCCAGACTTTTCAGCCGCTTCGAAAAAAAATTAACTGCTATATAATATATTTTAATGATATAGTGCAAATATACTCAGAACCAAGCCAATTTTAATTTAAAAAATACTGTAAGTCTTGCGGCACCCAGTACGCTATTTGTAAGACATAATTTTTATTGATCCATGTTGATGTTAAATAGAGAAATAAAATTACCCTACATTCATATTACTATGGGGGTAAGCTTTAATTATCTGTGGAAATTCAGCTACACAAATTATATTTATTACGCCAACAATTACAGATAACCTAATAACCGGTATATCCGGTTTCTGGAAAGGAAGTAGTAAATACTACTATCAAGCCACACAAGTGCGATAGGCTACCATTGAACCTTCCGATGTTGACCGTATGGAGCGAAATGAGGCTAACATTGCCCGTAATTTCTGTAGTGTCGAGGGTCATCAGGAAGATATAATGCCATTTCTGTACCCTTGATGTCTTTTTAAGTGAGGGCCCACTTAACCCTAGCGGGATTTCGGGACACATTCCTCTATTACAATGCTTTGAAAAATTACAAATGGATTTACAATGAACATACCATGCGGGTTATTTTACTAAAAGATAAAATATATATTTAGAATTAGACATAATTATAGGTAGGGGTAAGTGTACAGTAAATGTACGGGTAAGTGTACAGTTTGTAGAAACAAAAAATGTATACATTCTACAACTGAATTGACGAAGAAAAAAATATTATCGGTGTAATATCCTGTCTATCCCAAATTTATGAACTACATCCAAAAGAATGGAATGCATTGCAATATACAAGTTATATTTATATTATTGTTTTTTTGTGCAGTGTGATTGTTATATTAAAGTCAGTTATTTTAATTTTACACGTATAATATTTTTATACAACAACCTTAGGTTTATTTTATGTACTACAATTTAATTACTGAAATAGCCGAAGTGTGATCGAAAATATCATTACTGGTGTGTAGAAAAATCGTTATACATCTTTGTTGGATTAAAGGTCTCGTTACCAGGCTATTAAATATTACGAAACATATAATATCCTTCGTGGTTCCTCAAACATTGTCTTTGGTTAATTGTCGTTTGGCAGTTAGCCATAGGTTATATTCTATAAACAAACGGAAGTGAGAAATATTGCCATGTTCAATACAATGTGCGTCGCCTTTTGAATTGACATTTCGCGGCGTCTTAACAGCTGTTTTTCCCAACCTCTCATCTTTCATACGTGCGCGATTATAAGTCGGTTATTTTGTTACACGTGTTGTCTCGTCGGATAATGCCATTTTAAATATTGTCTCACATATAGAGTCTAACCATGGAAGACGACAAAAGCGTAAACGGTGAGTGAATTATAGCGTGCAACAAAGATGTCTCTGGACTAAGCATGTCACCAATTTTTTCATACACATTTCGTTCTCAATTTATTTTAGTTCCCGTCCAGGGCAACTTTAATTATCGTTTAACACTATTGCCTAGACCACATTTTTAAATATTGTAAAATTTCATCCGCCTTAGGCAGGGGTATTACGCCTTTGAAACATGCGCCATGCGAAGTCCTTTTATATGTTTTCAACAGAATTTATTCGTTAAATAAGATGAATCTGAATGCTTTAAGTCTTAGGTATTGAAAATATAATCATGTAAAATGAACACATACTTAAGATTCGATAAATACACATTATAAAGTCAACTTCTGTACTTAACTAATTTCATTCCAAAAGTTTTTTACAGAGTTGTATCTGCTGGAATGTATTAGATTATTTCCTTAAAGAAACTTTTGATTATATCTTCCACATAAAGGAGAAATACTACACTACTCATGTATGCTTTGTTCCTATTAAGAAACAATACAATGCATGCAATGGATTAAATTACTTGCAATGCAACTAAAACTGTGAAACATGCCAACAAAGAAGTTTTAAAAAACATTCAAAATATAAATGTATTAATATATAGTTGTAGAGCAACAGCATGTAGCACTGACAATGTCAGTTCAAGTCCTGCCCAAGTCAATTTTTTTTTTAATTTATTTTCAATTTCAAATTAATTTGTATTTTTTAATTATGTATAAATCATTAATTAAACAAAAATTTCAAATACAAGTGTCTGTTCTGCTATAAGAAATAATAATATTTGTTTGTCTAAGAAACTATGATACCCACTTAATTCACAACAACTACAATTCAAATTTTCAATACTAAATATAATAATATCTAAAAAATCTGTATTCAAATATTTAGTTTAAATGTCTTGATATAAAACAACCCTCTACTTTTAAATACAGTACTAACAATGAAATTATTTTCTCTGTTATAGTTTATCTAAGTAATAGGTATGTGTGCTACTTAATCCTTTTTTATGACTGACTATTACCCAACTCCCATTTATAGTTATTAGAAGTGCATGTTAATCTTGATCTAACAAGATAGTAGTAAGATTATACTTATTTTTATATTTTTTTAAGAAACCCTATGTTTATTGTTTATTTTTTCTAGCACCATTGACACGCCTACGTCGTAGATTATCTACAGATAAACCAGATGAAAAACCACTTACTCCAAACAGCCCCAAGAAGAGAGGGAAGGCAAAGTCTCAGCTTGACAACATTGATGAAAATGGTAAGTACAATGATCAATATGGTATTTACTGACTACTACTAAACTAACTATAATTATGTTTTTAGTGTATAGTTCTCATTAAAAACCAAGAGGGCAAAATATGATACAGCTTCACTTTGCCTGGGTTAAAACATTCCTTTTAAAGTGTTAACATTGATTAGGTGCCTAATCAAAAATCTAACCCAGTGGTTTGACTACTTAAAATTTGTTGTACAGTGTAACTCCTTAACCTCTTTCAGATCTCAAACAAGTATCAATCTGTACATCTACAATATAGTAAAACTAGAATATTAATTCTGCTTGTTGTTTTGGTGTAATAACTTTTATGAAATGATTGCACCAAACAATTGCAGTAGGAACTGCTCTTATTAGCTTAATTAAGTTAAAAATAAAGGAAAAAGAAATACTTTTTTTCTATTTCGATGCATATTTTTTATGTTGCCTCATCATATATTACAGCTATTACCCCACAAAAAAGCACACCAAAGAGAGTCACAAGGAGAACTGCAAAGGACACAAATGAAGAAGATAAACCAGTAACCCCAGCAAGACGGAGTGCTAGAATAAAGTCCAACACAAGTGTTTTGGAACCTGCAACTACCGCCACTGAAAGCCCCAGGGCACTTCGTGTTACAAGAAGGAATTCTCATTTAGGTATGTCCTATTTTTATTAAAATTGCATTAAGTGTGACGGACCTTAATGTTGCATCCCGGGTAAACTTTGTTTTGCTATGGCAGTGTAAAAAGAAGATAACTGAAATGGAATTAGCATTATGTCCTCTACAATTCAAATTGCAGTTCAATATTGTTAAAAATAATTACCATATTTCTCATCAGAAATTTCACTGAAACCTTAAATGTGGGGCAGTTTATATAATTTTTTTTATTTGAAGTAATTTTTCTACTTAGGTAGTGATAGTGAAGCACCTCCTACACCTACTCGTGCAACAAGGAGGACAAGAAAAGATTCCACATCCAGTCTTGATAAAGGTAAGCTATCCAATTTGCATTATATACTTTTACTAGGGATTGCAACAATACAAAAAGTGTATAAATTGAAAAAATATAAACATAAGATATACTTGTTTTTTAAACTTTTATGCTGCCTTTAAAATTCAAAATAAACGAGGAACTAACTAGGTATCACAATGTGAATTATTATATATATCTTGTAAGTAAATGATAGTTAAATTTTTCTTATTATTATTATTTTGAATAGAAGATTAATTATATTATTATTATTTCAGTGGAAATTGACAAGACCCTGCCTGCAATTATTAATGAAACTATAGTTGAGGAATCAGAAAATTTAATGAAACCTACAACCTCACCTGAATCAAAAAAAGTAACAAATTCTTCTGAAACTGATAATCATGCATCGAACACAGATTCAAAAGTGACCACCCCAGTGAAACCAACAGAACAAAGTACCTTGTCACCAGACAATCAAAAGGAAAATATTTCACCTGGACATGTACACCGTAATGAAAAACTATCACAGTGTATACACAATTTAATTAATAACAACATAGAAAACATAGATTTACTTTCTAAAAAATCTGTTCTAAACAAATCTACCTCTTCTCTCGAACCGCAAATTAAAAGAAACATGAGGAAAACCAAATCTTGGTCAAGTATTCTTTCAAGTGATGAAGATGTAAAAGAGAAAGAAGATAAAGGTGACAAAGTACTATCATCATATTTAAGTTCTCATGACACTAAGTTACCAATTTCACAACAGAAGGAAAAATTGGAAACAATATGCAAAGACTTAAAGATTGTAGCCATTAAGCTTCCAAATTTTATAAATGAAAAAGAATTGACAGAAGACAAAGACAAGAGTGACAAAATGGATTTATCGAGTGAACAACTCTTTAATAAAGAACCCAGCGCTGCTTCAAAGCCTGAAATCATAATTGATAATGCAGATTCACATATAAAACAAAAAGAACAAGTAATAGTTGATGTCAAAGATAAAACAAGTGGTGATATTATTATTATAACTAACAGTCCCAAAAATCTCAATGATAGTGTTGAACCAATGGACATAGATCAGACAATACCAGAAAGCTTAATCGTAGTTGAATCTGAAGAAAACGAAAAAGTATCATTAAATCATTCTGAGCTTAAGAAGCTCGACAAACAACCCTTACTTTCGTCTAATACTTCAGTATCTAAATCTGGTGTAGACTTAAATAAAACACAAACTAACGAAAATGAGAAATGTCTTCAACAATCATGTTTAACAAGCACACCTATACAACATCATTTCCGTAAAGTCGGAGAACCTGTAAATACGCCAATAATAAAGTCAACTTTTGAAAATACAGAATCACTACAAAGTCCAATAGCTACAGTTGAAACTTGTATTAGCACAACAAATAAATCTAAAGAAAGTATTGAAATAGATTCAAACAGTAAAAATATTACTTTAGCAACAAACATACAAGAAAACGATAAAGTAATTAATAAGATTGTAGAGAAAGAATTAACAGACCATGGCGTTCAACTTGCTGTGAACAGTGAATCCAGTAACACGTCACTACAAGACCATACAGATTCCAAAACTACTTCAAAACGACAATCTAATTCTAAAGCCAATGATACCAATACAGAGATATCACGAAGTAAATGCGAAATAAAAATGACCATTGATGATGAAAATAGTGGTAATAGTGATATTTCTAGTGATGGATCAAATGCAAAAAATAATTTAATACACGATGAAGCTAGTGATGCTGGTGATGACTATGAATCTGGTGACAGTCAGAATGAGGAAGAAATGCGATATGCGAAAGAAAATGAAATAGTTGAAAAGGGTGAAACACTTACATCAGAGGATGACTTTCATGATGATTCTGATTACGAAAAGGACTCTTTTGTTGTCAGCTCTGCTGAAGAAGACAATGAATTGTTAGAAGGTACAGACGACGATTTATCTATGAGCGACAATGAACTCAAAATGACAGCAAAGTCTAAGAAAAAATATAACGAACGCATGGCTAAACAACAAAAAAAAGCGTCTAGGGAAATGTTTGATTCACGCCATAAAAATAGTAAGAAGCAACAAAAGAAAATGGAGTATACTTCTGATTCATCTAGTTGTGATGAAGCTCCTAAAAAACAGAAAAAAGTAAACAGAATGCGTTTAGATTCTAGTCACGAAACAAGCACGTTAAATGTAAGTAAAAAAGATTCTGAAACCGACAAAGACTTATCTGTTTGCAATGAAGCTAATCCGAATGAAAAAGAAATAACAGCCATGCTCAGTGAAACTCCACAGAAGAAAGACCCGTTAGAAATATCGATGAAGAAAGAACCAAAAACGCCTAGAAATGAAAGCTTGATGGAAACATCCCTCGACTTTATACCTATAGTTCCAACAGGAGATGCGAATGAAAGTAAAATAAAAGACGCTCCAAAACAAGACATTACCAAAGACCCATTAGAAGCCACAGCAATTGAAGACACATCATCTGACAGTGACACAAACAATATAATAAGCAATTATGATTCAATGTTAAACAATTTAAATAAGGACAAAACTAGTAAGACGGCTGATACATCGCTAAATATTGATATGAAAAAAAAACTGACAAATAAAAAACCTTCCATCATCGACGAACTCAATCTCACTCAGATAAAACCTGATGGTAAATCTAAAAAGAAGACAAAGAAGGAAACCAGGTCACAAGCAGAGGTAAAAGCATCGAAAGAAACAATTAATGTAGCAGACGATGATTCGTCCGATTCAATTGATATGCGTATTCTTCTGTCTGATGTTAGCGATGCTGATTCTAAAAAAGACATTAATATTGAAAATGATATACCGCTGAAATCCAGTGAAGCCAAGACTGACATCAGAATTAATGAGGACGGTGAGTTGATTATACCAATTAGTTTAAAGATTCGAATGCAATGAAAAACTAAATGTTAACTGTTATATGAATACCTAAAAGTTCTTAATGTATGTATCGCTTTTATTTTTTTTTTAGAAAACAAACAAGATTCGGATGACAACTTCAAGTTTTTTATTGATACTAAAGGCACAAACATTGACAGTCCAATCCAACCTTGGCTGGAAAGTTCAAATTCAAATGTTCCTGTTGATGGTAATTATATATTTTCTTTACGCCGTAATGGTTCATTAGAAATTGTTTATTTATAAAAATATTGTACAAGCGAAATAAAACTAAATCTGGTTTCTACTAATATCTTAATTCATTGGTTAATTTTGTTATAAAGAAAGTGCAAATTATTAAGCAAACATACAAAGCAAATTACAAATATTATTTAGAAAATGTACGACTAATTATATAATTAAAGTAAATTTCTACCTTATAATAAGAAACAATGGCAAAATAATCTAAATTATAATTACTATTTGTCTTTATTACAGTGTCGGATGGCCCCGATGAAGAGAAAATTATGAGAGAACCCGATGTTAACACGTCTGCATTAAAAACTCCTAGAAGTGACAAGAAAAAGAAACGCAAGCATACCAACACTGAAGAGCCATCTGAGCTGGTGAAAGAGAACAGCATGAGGGAGGAAGGCATGAACACATCTGCAGTAAAAACTCCTAAAAGTGACAAGAAAAAAAAGCAAAAAGATGTAGACAATGGTAATGCCAATTATTATAATTTTCATTCTAAGTATGAGATAACGGAATTAAATTTTGGTTTACAATACATACACATATATATTGTGTTTAAATGTATGCGGATTTTGAAAATCATCTTTTATTGCAGAGCCATTTATAAGATATATGTATTGTGTTGCAATAACGAATTCAACTATAATAATATAATATCCCTGGTCCCGTATACAGTTGACTATAAATTAGTAACAAAAATTTCATAATATTTGCTCTAAAGAACTGTGCAACTCCTAGTATATGTGGTGGTGGTGGTAGTCTAATGAAACATGTATATAGATATGTAGAACAAAGTTAAATTATTTTCAGAAACACCTACTGTAACACATGTACCAGAGAAGCTGGACTTGTCAAACGTCAAAACTCCAAAAAGTGACAAGAAAAAGAAAAAACAATTGGCTGAAACTGAAGGTAAAATTATTGTTTTGTATTAAATTTGTTGGTTGACACGGGAGGGACGCGAACCCACATCTGCATTTAACAATGCACAAAAACATTTAAAAAATATAATTGTTATTGTATTACATGCTTAACATGTATGAAAACAGCTGCGCTATAGGTCGTAGCACGGATGTGTAGCGCTGAACGAAATGTAGAGGTTGCGCATCGGACAATCGCGCACGTAATTGATTGGAAAACGTAAATGTACTCGAGAAGCAAGCGGAGCGTAGTAGTGGTCCGAGAAAGACAACACGACTGGGGAAAAAAATCAACGCTAGCGCACATGACGTTCACTCGCCCCGCGCTCGCCTTCGTCCCTTCGATACCTTATTATTTACTTCTGCGCAGGATTCGTTCAGCGCTAGAGATCCGTGCCGCTACTTATACCTATGTATTGAAAATAAATTTAAATAATTATATTTTTTGCAGTTGTATCTGAAAACGTAGATTCTCCAATACAACAACACGTAATAGAAGTGAAAACCCCAAATAGTGTTAAGAAAAAGAAACAAAAGTTTTCCGAATCCATAAATGATTCTACAAATGGTATGTTTGTCGACACTTAATAAGTTATAATTTATATGTTAACTACTGACTTCGAATTCAAAAACATACATTGTCATACTTATAAAGCTTATACCAACTGGTTTACTTTCTTGCCTAATACTAATAATAACCTCAATTATTTAAATAAAACATTTTAACGGTTTATAACGCGATATATTAGTTAAACTTATTTGGAAATGATTTATAACTAGGCTCCCCGTGACCACGGCTGCTGCAAAGCATCCGAAACGTCGGGCCGAAGTTAAAATCATTTTCAAATAAGTTTAAATAATATATCACGTTTTAAACCATTAAATTGTTATATTTAAATGTGTACTACTCGCGTAAACTATAGACAGTATACATTTTCTAGATGTACCCACCGAGGCTGGTATGGAGGAAAACAAAGATGTATCCAACATCAAGACGCCTAAAAGTGACAAGAAGAAGAAAAAAGATCTTTCGCAAAATGACATTGAAGGTTAGTTTCTATACAAAATTAATAATTGATATATATCTTAGTAACAATAATGCTATAATGTGTCCAAATTTTGTTTTGACCCTTAAATTCCACTGCTGGGCACAATTATTTCGCATATTTGAGGGTTTTAATAGAGCCTACGATCTTAACGTGCTTTGGTAGGATGTCATGGTAGTGTCACTACCTCTGAACTCCGGCCTGATACTAGAAATTTCTTGAAACAATTCTCAATACCGAAGCAACATTATGCCCAAACCAGATTTCGAACTCGCGATGTTGTGACCCGTTGAGTGCTGTTAACATTAGACCAACAAGTCGTAGTTTTATTTGTCATAATGTTCAGTTTAGTAATACCTTGGTTTTTTGTTAATCTGTTTCTAAAATGGCAGCTGACACGAATTGGTTTTTTTTTTCAGACTTACCCGAAATTCTAACGCTGGAAGAGTTACAAGATAATAATGTTGCAATTTTGAAAACACCAAAAAGCGACAAGAAAAAGCAAAAACAAGCTGAAACTGACATTACTCAAGGTAACTTATGTCAAATCAAATACTGTCATACTACATAGTTTACGCGAGGAGTACACATTTAAATAAAACACTGGAACGATTTAAAACGCGATAGATGAGTTAAACTTATTTGAAAATGATTTTTAACGCGCGTTTTAAACCGTTTAAAGTGTTTTATTTTATGTCAAATTACTTATCTTAAATGTTTAAACTGCTTAAATCAAGAACATATGGCAGATCTACTACCTACTACTAACCATAACATGTACTTTTTTCTAGATGTATCTACCAATGTTGGTTTAGAAGAGAAAAATGTATCTAACATCAAGACGCCTAAAAGTGACAAAAAGAAAAAGAAAGATCCCACTCAAATTGCCATTAAAGGTTAGTTCCTGTATGATATAAGCTAAAGGTTGCTGGGTTAGACTGGGCAAAGATAGCTGGAATGTAAAAAGGGGATATTAATTATTAGGGTTAGTGCTCCCGACTGCAATTATGTCATGGTTCGAATCTCGGATCGGGCGTAATTTTAACTCCGAGCCAGTCCGAACTTTGGTAAAGCTGAACTCGGTTACTACTAATTATGATGCTTTGCAACAGCCATGGTCATGGGTCAAGATAACTTGTACCCAGTTAGGGGATGTTAATTGGTCAAAACAAATTATTTAAAAAACAATTCATATAAACTTAATTCACAGATGCTCCAGTTCAGAAGATGGAAGAAGCCACTGTTGTTGAAATTAAAACTCCAAAGAGTGATAAGAAAAAGAAAAAGATTTTATCGACACAAACTAATGCAGAAGGTGAAAATAGTTTACTAGTTTATTGCAAATATAGTATAAATATAGTAATTGCAAAACGCTTTAAAGATAATGTACTTAAACTTAAAATCTATAAAAATTGGTCTTACCCATTGCATTAAGTTTTCATAGTAACATAACTTACTGAAGATATTTTTTATAACTTCTCTCTAATCTTACTCATCTCTTATTTATTACTTTGTAAGCAACAGTCAATTTCATACATTACATTGACAATTGCTTAAAAAATAATTAGTTCTATTATATTTACGTCACTATATTGTTTTAGCACCTCCAGCTGTAGATAATAATTCAGAAGTTTCTGCCGCAAAAACTAAAAAGGACAAGAAGAACGAGCAATCATTAGATCAAGATACCACAGATGGAACAAAAGGTTGTCTTACATATTTATATGTTATACCGTAAATTAAAGTGTTGTCCAGCAACACCTAAAAGGCAGTATCTCAAGTTCAAATTACAGAGGTAGACCAATAAATAGTTTCGATCGGGCAGGGCACTAATCAACTACCTGCCTGTAAAAAAGTTATTGGCAAAGTAGACACCTTGATATGAATGAAATATGCACTTACATATATGTAGACAAGTATAAATAATATTATGTACTAGTAATTCATAAGGCAAACAGACAAATGTATTTTAAATATATGTTTTAGACTTAGAATCGCTTGCCAGTAAGAAAAAGCGAAAACGGTCACTTTCCTCCCAAAAAGATGAAGTTTTAAGGGAAGGTACTCGATTGTTTTTTTATTTTTTATTATACTGTTTTATATTTGTTTGAATTCATAGAGGTATATCATACATATTTTTTTATAGAAATCACAGTCTTGGAGCCCAAAGAAAATAAAAAGAAAAAGAGAAAAACATCAGACAAACACGAAGAAAGAAATGACGGTATTGTACAATTTATTTTAAAGTTTTAATTTTATCACATAATTTAATCCTACATTATTGTTACATTTTTCTTGTTCACAGCACCTGTTGTTACTAAGAAGACCAATAAACGGAAAATCAGAGAACACGACGACGTTAATTTGGCTGAGGTGAGTATTAATATTGTATTTTTACGGAATTTTAAATATTTTTATAATACACCATTTTTTATATTTTAGGTTCCACAAGCCAGCTGTAGTAAACTCCCTGTACCACGATTACCTACATCTATCATAGATAAACTGGATGATAACGTAAAAATGCCAAATAATAAGAAGGCGAAAGTGATATCTACTAGCCAATTCATCGTTCAGGGTACCAGACGAAATAAGCCGTCAAACTATCTAGAAGAAAGTGTTTGTCTCAATGAAGATACGCCAGAGAAGAAGAAGCAGAAGAAACACATTCCCAAACCAAAAGTGTTGCCATCTGTACCGACTTGCTCGTCATCCAGTAAAGGCTTCACCACTAACTTCCAAATAAAAGTCGTCCCCACTGAAACTAAATTCGTAGCTCAATCTTCTAACGAAGTAGTTAATTTTAAAGATAATTTCTTACATAGGAAAAGTATTAAACGTGTTGGAACGTACGAATTATACAAAAAACAAAGAAATATCAAGCTTTCGAAGTTCTAGAAGACGACGTTATTGATTTACATGAACCGCCTTTATTTTGTTGATTTTTTTCCATTATTGTTAGTTAATTATTATGTCTCTTAGCATTTATTATCTGCATTATGTATTCTTTTGGTTATTGTAATAAGCTATTTTCTGTTCTAAGATCATCTATGTATAACTCTCCATAACGTGTTTTTTTTACATTAATACTTATTTTTCAATTTTGATTGTAAGGAAATTGTTGTACCAACTAATGCCTTTAATTTTAATTTGCTTACTAAAAATACAAATTCAAAATTTAATTTCACTGTATATATGTTCTTATAATAATGCAGTTACCCGCTGGCGGTGGTTTTTGTGAACGATGATGTTTGTTTATTTCATTATTGGGAGTTATATTTGATATTTTGACTATGTGCTTTTTGTAATCTGGCGCCATTGTGAGATGTTAACTCTTTAAATAGATGGCGCTTTTCTAAACTAAAAATGCTTTTCAAGAAATCATTTGTTTTCATTAAAAAATCGATATAACCCTTGATATTTGTGTGTAATTCGAATAAAGTTATGTTTAAATATGTAAACATTATTTAAAAATGTGTAACTTCCAGAAATTACAAACGTAGCTAAGAAAAATCATCTCGACTCGTCATGCCGGTGTAAACAAACCGCCATGTTGTAAGTGACACGACTGCTAAATAACTGTAAGTATTCATAAAAATAAAATAAAGCTGACGTGCATTAAGTCTAATTAATGTTTAGGTATTTTTTTCTAAAATTATCCGTGAAAGCTGCACTCTTTTTAGAAACATTAGAATTTAACAAATTCACACAAGATAAATATGTTGTTCAATTGACATCCGACGTCATTTCATCGTGTTATTTGCGCCAATAGCGTTGGACTTCACTTAGTCACGTGGGATGGATTATCCAATAGCAGAGGACGCCATTCTTTGTGTACCTTTTCACATACTAGTGAAATAAAACATTGTAGTCTATGAAGTGAGTAGTGTATATTTTGTCAATTTCATGACGCTAAATACGTAAATGTGTGAAATTCAGGATTATTCCATAGTGTCTAAGGATATTTATGTCAATAAATATTCGGTAAGTATAGTTCTGAACCTGTCTTATCGTAAAAATATACGTAAATAAGACACAACGAGAAAGTAAGTGTGATGTCCCGCTCTTTTTAATGTCATTCGGCGTAATATTTTGTTTTTACACATTTTGCGTTAAAGATCCTTGATTTTGAGTTGTTTCACATGTACTTTTAGTCAGAAATGTCGATTTGAATATATTAACATCGTATTTTGATAGTAAAAGTGGCGGGAAATCATTATCTTATAATAATGTAGGTATTGTGTTGTTTGACAAGTTGTGATCGACTCGGTCGTACCTAAGACTATACATTGAATGCATTGTTTTATATTATGTCACTATTACTGTAAATATTCATGAAAATAAACATGTCTACTTATTTGACATTCAGAAAAATATTACAAAAATGAAATTTGTAACGGCCGATTTGTTTTACGCATTCTGTCTCCTTCCCTCACTTTGACCTACACCACGCGTAAAAGAGATAAAACATCGGTGGGCATAGTACAGTCGGTATTATTATTTAAGTTATTTTGGCGTTTTTTGTCGAAATCAGACTGATTTCAGACAAATAAATCTAGATGAATCTATACTTGATTACCGTCTCTCGAGTAATTCATATTCTTTCAAGATATATTTAAAAGAGTTATATTGTAATGTAAAAATATAGGTACTGTCGGGATCGTTTGCTTTTAGGTTAAAATTTTAAGTCAATAAAATGTTTCAATTAAAAGTGAAGTTCTCTAAATTTATCCAAAACAGAGACATTATTACACGCTGTCGGTCAGTTAATTATCTTAAACCCTAACTAATTGAAATAAACGCCAAATGGTGATTAAAACGTGGTATTTAACATCCTAATCACTAATGTGTGTTGGGAAATAACAAAAATGATGAATTAATATCCAAAACAAAACAATAAAAATAATGTTTGTCTGTACTTGACTGTACTTATAGTAAAGGTGTACTAGCAAACGCCATACCGCGGCCGTCAATGAACTTGCGATAGTAGTTACCCTATAGATCTAAAAGTAACAGCGTAAACATCGTAAATTAATTTAATACTGAGAATATTTTATCGAAATGTTTCATAGGAATCTCTCCAATAATTATAGCCATTTAATAATCATAATTGCCTAACAGCGAACTTCTGTTTATGAGGTAGGGACCGTTCCCACGGCCAGTTTCAAGCGAGAATTTCAAAACGCTTAACAATGAGTGCACTGTGTGTATGTAGTGGTGTCTAAGCGTGTGTGTACACAACCACATGCAACGGGACTGCATTTGTGAGTGCAGCGCCACAGAATATTAAAATTGGCATCGTCGCTTGTTTACTTAATACTGTAAACTGTTATACTTTTTCTCTGTGTCATGTAAACATACATTCTGATGTAAAATTCTGTCAACTAATTATAGAGGCAGTTATTATATAATATTATATTTTAATACCTGATAAAAATACCTATAATTTAGAAGTTATAGATTATTTTAGATATTATATTGCAGAACAAACAAACATCTATTTTTGTTCCTAGGTCTTTTTTATCTACATTGTGCATACTGTTTTCACTGCTCTGTGGCAAATGCATTCTCCAAAGGGCCTGCTGCAACTTGTCAAGAGTGTGCGTGCCTTTCTACGTGCGCATGTGTGTGTTTGTGTACGATAGTTTACGAACACACCTGTGCTTCATTCCGTCAGCCGTTAACACTTCCCTAGGCCCTAATAATTGTCGGTAATAAAACTTCGTTAAAGCGTTCAAAATTTGTTATTTTCGACATTTTTAATGTAAAGATTTAGGTAATTCTTACCAAGATGTAAAGTGATTATTTCGTCAAGTCACTATAATATCGAGAGTTGTATTCAAGGTTGACTCATACTGACGAGGTTATTGCTCTCCAGTCATTTGTACCAATCGCGAAAATTAACATGAATCCGTGAAATCATTTTTTTTCGTTCTCTATTTGCGTAAGTACAATATTGAAGTTTGAAAAATATTGAGACTATTATTTTTCAGCCACCGTAGGATGTGAAGGTCAGATTGTAATTTTTTTTTTTAATTCAAAACAGCAACAACTACCATTTAAAACATAATTTGATCTAAACCAACACAGCCTAGCAAAATATTTACATAACGTCTATCGAGAGCGCGAAAAGTTTCATAAATTCCGGTCTAGACATAATAAGATGTATAAAACTTTACCCAGTATAATATTTCAGTTTCCCTCCTTTCGAGAGGGGCGAAGGGCGAGGGGGGTGAGCCGTGCATCCAATCGATACTGAACCCCTCCTGCCGACCACATTTTGCGCGCGCACGTGGAAAATTATACTTTTCGCGCCAACAGACTATCAAATAATTTACCACAATGCGTCGATCTCAGATAAACGAGTTTTAAGGCGGATCAGATAAAAACTATGGTGCTAAAGATTCTTCATGGGAAGCGGAAATAGCAGAATTAGTTATTTTCTTGTAACCATGGTAACCGCGTTTCGCCCGCGGCTTTGCCTGTCCCATTCTTTTTAATCAGAATTTTTCAATGACTTATTATGACAAAAAAATATATGCAACAATTCTACACTAGGAAGGAATCGTCCTGTTGGTATTACAAAGTAGTAAATCTCAGAGAATTTGTCAAGCTTCTCCTTTTTGCCCTAAGACACGTACAAACTTACACACACAAGAGATTCGAATCGTCGGCCTTGGCTATTTTTCTCAAATGATTTTGGTGCGTAATCTAGTGTAAGGCTATTTGTACAAGTAGGAGCGCAGTCTACGCCGAGTTCAAGGCGATCGCGCGCGGTCATGATCGAGGCCACAGCAGCTCCCCACGGCGCCTCCATAACTCCCCCCACTCCGCTGAAAATCCAATTTCCTCCTACAGGAGTCCTTATCACTTTTTAAATTTCCATTAAATAAAACTAGTCGTTCGTGCGTAAAAAAAGAAAACTTTTTATGTTATGAAAAGCTGATAAATAAATAAAAAAACAATATTTTTGGAACTACCGTATTTGTTTTGACTATTACCAAATTTATTGATAGCTCCTCTAAATTTATTACTTCCTAACAAAATAATTATTCACCCACGTTACATTGTTGGCTTTCAACTTTGCTTTTGCTGAATGATCATAACAAGTAAGTCAAGTAGAAAAAATTGCTTAAACATCAAAATAACTGGACTATTTATAACTTAGCATTTATACAGTCTACACGTGTCCGAAGCGTTCAATACATTATAACTTCAGTTCCTCTTCATATGGCACGTAATCAAGATGAACTCTTAGCAATAAAGTAGCGGGTTCATGGCCCGCTCAGTGTAGCTGAGACACGTTTGCACGAGCTACAGACGATTTTGACTAGTGAATACATGTGACAAAGTTAAATCGTTTATAACTAACTGGTGTTTACAAATCTCCTCTTATCTTTATTAATTTAAACTGTTAACCACGACGTCGATCGCGTCCCGTCGTTCTGCGAGTTCATAGGAGATAGACATATTATATACTGTCGTGGACATTGTTGCATTTTCCTTTAACTAACGCAAAAAGGTTTTTCTTTAATTCGAACCAGTAGTTTCTGAGATTAGCGCGTTCAAAAGTACAAACAAAGCTTTATATATTAGTATGATATGAGAAACGTGGTTTAGTGGTATGAGCACTTACAATCACGTGTTGCTCCAAAGTATGTCTTTGTGCATATCTGACACGTGCGCTGCAGAAAACCGGTAGACGGTTCCAGGAAGCGAATTCGACGGCTATGTGTCATCTGCCTTGCACTTGTACAGCATAACAGACGTATAAGGCGTATATAATTATTGTATGTTCGGCTCCCAGCAAAAACTTGGTGTTTATTATAATTAACTAGCTATAGCTGAGATTTCGGCCGCGTAGAATTGTTATTTTGGGCTTCCAAATTTATTATAAATAAATACCTAATCCTTCTTAACTCATATCATATTTTCTAGCCTCAAACCTTCCTCAATAAATGTACTAACCGACACAAAAATATTTTTTTAACTCGAAGCAGTAGTTCCTGAGATTGGCGCGTTTAAACACTCTCCAGCTTTATAATATTAGTATAGATAACGAATTTATACAAATAGGTTAAAATTATTTTTACAAGATTCTAATTTACAATATTACGTACTTTGATTCGTGACTTTGAATGTGTTCCAATTTCCTAAACCGATCTTCATTTTTGATTAAAGTAGGTATGTTTGTTCATGCTTACATTAGAAGAAAAACTTTAGTAATAATTTAATAAATCCTTACGCAACATTATATCCGTTATTTACTTATTATTACTATTAAACAACAATTGCTTTTTTTGTGAATTTAAGTCATGGGAATCAAAAGTCGAAACCTAAAAATCGCCAAGGGTGTCGCATAGATAATTCTGTAACGGATACTCAGGTAAAAATCAGAATGAAGCAACAATAAAGTAGCGATAAAGGCGACCTGAGAACATTTAACCAGAAACGAATGCTTATTTCAAAGGGGCACAGACGGCTGCAACGCCATTAGGGGTAGCTTTACCCTCTGCTTTATCGCTGTCCCTTTCTGACACCCCAATATTATCTCGCTAATGAAGGGAATCGAAGAGCGAGATAGCCATATTCTTAAATTAATTAGTTTGTGTTACTAACTTTTGTAGCATATTTACGATGGTCAGATCTTTTAAAGGTCTATTTGAAAATTCGTTATTTTTCGAAAGCGCATGAAATCACTATCAAATAGTGAGGAAAGGTAAACAAAAATACTCCAATGTTTTGATATGGTCTATATATCTTACATACCTATCTTCTTATCTGTCAATGCACTCGACTATCTAGTTATAAGCGGCGTTTACAAATTTTATAAAGTTATATTTTATAAAAAAACCGGTAATCTTTTTAACGAATTTGAAATTAAATAAACATTAACTACGAAGACACTGAACAGATCATACATATTGGGTTTTTAAATACGTTAATTCAATGCTGAAAATATTTAGAGTAAGCAAATAACGTACAAAATAAACGATTACCTCCTAGCAAGAGAACTTAAAAAATTCTCTTTTAACTGTATCTAAATTTACACTCACAAGTGTAATATCTACGTTATAACGAATTACTTAATTCCCTATCACACTAAACAATTTTACGTAACGTTATCGCTTCGACATATACTACCTGCTTGTATGTTGTATCTATATCCAGGCAAACAGGTAACAAAAGAACGGTCTTAATCGCACCTGTCGTAAAATTTTTGAGCCAACGACGTCTATTTTTATTCATTTCACTATAGTTGGAATTATGAAAATTTGTTATAAGACAAGAAACAAACATTCGTCATTTTCATTTTTTTAAACCGTAAAAAGTATGTATTACTTTTGCACACATTGTGTAAATGTTAAATCAAAGGGCGCCGTAATAAAATCTATACTAATACATAAAGCTGAAGCGTTTGTTTGAACGCGCTAATCTCAGAAATTATTCACCTTTATGGGTTCAAGATACCCAAAAAATGTATGAAGGAATGATGATTCTCTTCGAGTTATTTAAAAAAAATGTCCGCGACACTATAATATGTCTATCTTTTAAGATTAACTTGCAAGAACGACGACTGATTTCCGAAATATTACAACGATATATAATATAGACCTCGCATATTTAAAACGACGAATCGTTATCTCTGCCTATTTATAATAAACGAAGATGAAAGTGAACTACTTAATGTATTATCGAACACCAGAACTCGTTTATTTATAGTACCAGCACCAATTAACTATGGACAAAAAGCACCGTCCCGAAATGCCTCGGCTTTGCTCCATTTGCTCTGTTTTTTAGGGTTCCTGAACAGTAAACCAAGATCCCATTACTAAACTACGGTGTTTTGTGCTATATGATATGGTGGTAATACTAAAAACGAGATATTTATCTATCTTGTCTATAAAGATTTTTAGCGTCTTGCTTGTTTTTTGGATAACGGTACGGAACCCTCCGCTCGCCAGTCTTACTCACGCTTGCTTAGTTTTTTTTATTTACCCTTAGGTAGTATAGTTCCTGGAATAACAACGACTCTGTTGACGTAGGTCTTTGTGTGTTTCCGTGTTGCTTCGGCTGCAGACTGCAAAGCTCATGAAAACATTACGAACCATTCTTTGCCCACTGTATAAGTGTGAAATTGTTTTACGTTATATTTCAAAATGTAAAGAAAATAACATAGTTATCAAATCTTGATACAATGATGAATAAGTTATGTTATTGGTTTATCAATGGGACAGTTTAAACAAAAATTCGGACAAACGACCCCAGGTTTTTCTTATAATATTCATAAGATGTCACATACTTTTAACAATGTGTTCACAAACAAGGAGATACCAAAAAGTATCACGTTTCTTGTTTGTGTCTTTTTAGTCGCATTTGAGCGAACATTAATATTACCTTCTTTTAAACATTGATGCTACAAACTCTGTAAGGCTTTAGTTATTTAGTATATATATTCCATGCGATTAACGCTGAAGGTTCTAGGAAGCCTGAAAAAAGAATTGGAACCTACCAACTAGCAGAAAAAAAGAGGTAGTAGATACTGTCTATAGTTTACGCTAGGAGTACACATTTAAATAAAACACTTTAACGGTTTAAAACGCGATATATTAGTTAAACTTATTTGAAAATGATTTTTAACTTCGGCCCGACGTTTCGGGTGCTTTGCAGCAGCCGTATAATAATGTATACATAAGTTTAACTAATATATCGCGTTTTAAACCGTTAAAGTGTTTTATTTAATCCTTTATACATAGGTTTCCTTTTTGAATGAGCGTAAAGGAGACGGCAATAAAAACAACTTACTACAGTTCAGTGATAGGGCATCGCATACCAACACGAGACAAAAACTGGTTTCCGTTCCGAGTAGTGGAATCCGTAAACGGGCTCGCTGTCTCGTCTAAACGATCTAGGGAATTATTTTTAAAGTATAGGAGAAAAATGGCGCGAAATTCACACTATACAAGAAGTATAGTTTAACGAACTTATGATAAAAAACATAAAAATGTTAAATAATATTAAGAAAAGACTAGGGATTCTCTCTTTATATGCTGAGTAAATTCCCACCATGTTAAGTATATAAACTGTCATAATTTAGGTATATCTAAAATTGATCAAGAAAAAAAATACAATTTGTAATATAATAAATATTTCATTCTATTTTATACTGCGACCTAACGTTTCGGATGTATTGGAGCAGTTATGCTCAGGGGGCTTTGGCTGCTGCAGAAAATAAAAATTAGTTAATAAATAAAGCAATACTTACTTATTTATATTTAGAAATAGGATGTAGGACATCAGAAAATACGAAATTAAAGGGCGTTGGTCACAAGCGGGTTTTGAATAGTTAAATGAGATGAATATTTTTGGCGGGAACTTTCAAGAGTACTGGATCGATCAAGAAACCGCAATATAAAAACATAATATCACCTATTTGGCTTGCCTGACTGACTGAAATTATTAGTTATAAAGTAGTCAATTTGACGCCATATTGTATAAATGTCTTCTTCCAGGGCTGCTCAGACATGGACTTGTACATCACAGATTCGCTCCAGGACATGCTGGACATGGACATTAAGAATGAAATTGCAACAGACTTGAGCAGCGTTACCGATTTTTCTGTTAGTATTTTATTTTTACAAAAAATAATCCTAGAAAGATCTCCACACTAGTGTAGTTAAGTTCGTCTTAGAGCTACCTAAACAGATCTTGTGTGGAAACTTAAAAAATTACTGCATATTCCACAGTGTATGACTGTTTATTGTTAGCATAACATTTCTATTTTAGCCTCTATGTAATTGTAGTCCTTATAACCTAATTATACCTAGTGGTATTTGGAGCACGGTCTAAGATTGGAATTACAGTAAAACATTATTTCGTTCGAGCTGAGCAGGGAGCATTTTTATTTAAAAGAATTACTAAAAATATTTTTATTTTATTTTCAGGACTCCTTAGGCTTAAACTTCTCGGAACTACCACCTTTATTAGACATGGACACAGATAATTCAGTAACGTGGCTCAATAACTCGTCAAGTTTCGTTCATAATCTAGATTTATACGGCTCAGAGGCAAACGCTGTCATGGTCAATCCGAACTCAGTAATGCCGTCCACGTTCGCCGAAACACCAGTCAAAAGTGTAGTTAAGGAAGAAGCATCGAATCTATTACTGACGTCAGCTGCTAACAACGACCTGAACAACAGCACATCACTATCGAGTCCAAAAGAAGAGAAAAGCCACCTAACATTCTCGCCTAACACGATAAAAGTCAAACAGGAACCAGAGGAAACGCGAAAACAGAGCGAGGAAGCGACACAAATGGTCATTTACGTCAGGAAACAGGACAAAAATGTCGTCAAGGACCTCCTAAAGGATTTAGACACGAGCAAGGTCAAATTAAATTCCGGGCTACCGCTCACGAGACTAAAAAACCAAGACATCATCAAAGTGAACAAGAGTTGCTCGGTACTTAACTCTAGCCAAAAAATAACGCACCAGATCGGCGCAAAGACAATAATATCCGGCAACATACACATATTGGACGCGCAGCAGTCTAGGACAATTTTAGCTAATGGCAACAAGAATCAGACGACACTGCTCATCGACAACTCGTTGAGCAATAGACAAATTATTAAGACGTCTGTGGCCGGGACGTATACGGTGGACAGTCAGAAGTATGTAAATACGTCTAGTAATAAGGTTAATGGTACGAGCGAGTTCCCGAAGCCAGCGTACTCGTACTCGTGTTTGATAGCTATGGCGCTGAAGAATTCAAGAACGGGAAGTCTGCCAGTGTCTGAGATATATAACTTTATGTGGTAAGTTTGACTACCTACACTTTGCAATATGAGGGTAGAAATATCGTTAGCACAAATTGTATTGTCGTGTGGCAACATTTTTCCATGTTATTACTACTGTCTATGTAAGTTAAAGTTCTGCTTATGGTGACAATTGAAAACCAGGGTACCTGGTAAGATGGGTTTAAGAATCGGCGTACAATCAATAACCAAATATTCTCATACGGTTGGATTTATTTTTAATCTACTTAGTGCAACTAATATTGACAGGGTTTCCTAGTTGCTTCTATTTTTTTGTATATGATTGTTCTGTCTAACAATGTTTTCAATATTTCAGTCAACACTTTCCATACTTCAAAACAGCACCGAACGGTTGGAAAAATTCAGTGAGACATAATTTAAGTCTGAATAAATGTTTTGAAAAAATCGAGAAGCCATCGAGCAATGGTAGTCAAAGAAAAGGTAAAATATATTTACGATTTCTTAAATTCATAAGATTTTTACATACAATCTGTATTTGGTCAGGATGTAATGAAAATAAATATAATAGTATCAAAAGAAAGTTAGGTATATAGTTTTATATATAATGTATCAGTTCATATTTATTTTGTCAAGAAATATTTTATTACTCTTTAAAATAATGATTATCTCTCATTTTCATTTATAATTATTATATACATTTTATATGCTCAGGATTTTATAATAATACTTATTTATAATTTAAACAGCATATTGTAATTTTATGTTTAAATTTAAACTTTTGATTTATTTCAGGTTGTCTATGGGCAATGAATCCGTCCAAAGTGGGGAAAATGGACGAAGAAGTCCAAAAATGGTCGCGGAAGGATCCCCAAGCCATTAAAAAGGCGATGGTTTATCCCGGTAAGTTAATTTCTCAATTCCTCATGTCCCGGTTTTTGTATTTTTTCTACTTAGAACATAGGTCAGACATTGTCTGTTACAGTTTATTTTGAAAGATAGATCCTTATTTACTAATAGAATAATATTGTTATGCAAATCGAATCTAGTACCTCAATATTCCAAAACAAGGCGACGTGTTACAAAAAACGTCATAAGCAATAGCTATGGTCTATAACTTCACAAACGGAAGTAGTAGTAGTTGCTTAACTATATATTTTTACCCTATATAAGAAAGAAATTGAAAAAATCCACATAAAAAAATATTTTTATTGTATTCCACGCAAGTAGAAAATTATCTCAATCTAAGTGAATATAATTAGTACTTGTGTAGAATAATCATTAGCGTAGTACGTCCATTATCGACCTTCAAAGAGACAATGTGATCGGAAAATCTCACATAGTAATTTTTCTCTTATTATCAACTTAACTGTCTATAACTGGGATTAAGGTATCTTCGCAGATACATTTAACTCGTAAATTAAGATTACGTTGGAAATATAGGTGATGGTGGTCTTTGCTTTCTTATTTGTGGGGGGTGGGGGGGGGGATTGGGTCTAAATGTAGTGATTGAGTCAGTAGTAACCTAAGATTTTAATTCGTTGTTTACATAAGCATAATGAGATCTTTGCTTACGGCATGTTTGAACGTTGCCTAACTATAGAAGGCATACATTCATATAATTTAGGGGCATACTATAATTACTAGACTTAGTATACTTCAAAAAGCTTTTTATTGTACTGGTATAAATTATATCCTTAATGTAGGATATAATTTATAACCTTTATCACAATGTGTTTAGTCACTTTGCTAAAAAGATTAACGAATTACCAAGTGTATCGCTACAAAACACCTAAGAATCACTTTCTAATTTAGAAATAAATTTCCAGATAGCTTAGAAGCACTGGAACGCGGAGAGATGAAGTACTCAGGATTTGGAAGTGACACGGAGGCAGAAGACGACGCTGATGTGGACGGTGATGCCGACCTTGACCCCGAGATAGAGATAGACCCGGAGGTCAAGGAGGAGGCTGAGGATGATTTTCTCGTGGAACAGGTGAATAACGATTTTGGTAAATTAGTTTGCCAAGAAACGAATTATTAATTGTATTGACTAAACTCTATAAAACAATTAAATACTGTCTATAGTTTACGCGAGTAGTACACATTTAAATAAAACACTTTAACGGTTTAAAACGCGATATACTAGTTAAACTATTTGAAAATGTTTTTTAACTTCGGCCCGACGTTTCGGATGCTTTGCAGCAGCCGTGTCTCCCCGTGACCACGGGCTTCACAGCTATTTAATCAGTGAACGTTGGTTCATAACCCGGGTGGAATTTCATTATTTCTACCTGCCATTTAATATCTAATTAAAAATATGTTGGACCCGTTTAAAATCGAACTCACAACCTGCGTACCTGAACGCACCAACGAGGCTGTTCAAACAAAAACCTATATTGAAAATGCTCGATGACACAAGACGACCGATTAATTTAGTTCTTAGTCCTAAATTTTTCGATCGTACAGTACAAGTTAAGCAGAGACGGCATTAAGAAAACAATATACAATAAAAGGTCACCGTCGCTTTATATTCGCAGAACAAACAAAAAATGTTCGCATAATATCCTCTGTGAGTGACCTCATGAGAATGCAAATGCTATCCACCCAATGTCAAGATCGAATTGTCTTCGATAGCCGTCCGTGGCTCTTACTGAGACTTATTGACGTCGATTCATTTAAATTAATAATCACATACGCGTAGTATTTAAACAAATAGCTTTTTTTGTTTATATTATTTCAATGATGTTCTAAAAGTAATACGAACGAGAAGTAAAAAATATATAGATGCTAAATAAAATAAAAAAATTGACGGGCTCATCTAATGGAAGAAATGCATGGATAATAATGAACTGGGGTTTGATCCCCGCCGAGTCCGATACGTTTCTCATCCATCTCTATATTTTCTGATACATGTTGGTCTTCGCCGGGAGACCTGGATATTAAATGGGTATCGTCCACGAAGGCAAAAGCGGTGAAGTTTATTCGCGTTTAGGTTTCAGTCTGGATGTGCAAATAGTCAAACCGAAATAAGTGATTAGTCTAAGATTTTAGATGACTTGTTTTAAACCTTCTATCATCATGAATAAAAATTTAACAGTCGCGTCAGTCATCTCAAATTACATCTACCTTTCTGCTTATGTAATTGTAGACGCACTAGTACGTGAGAACTTATATGAAAAGTTATCGCTGACGTTTCAATATGATTAGTTAGAGATTAAAATATATATTAGAGACATAATTCTAGGTCGCCCCACTTCCCAAAAATTTTGTTGTACTTAATATAACTAAACTAAAAGTAACTGTTTTAGTAAAGTAAGTAACGTTTTTTTTTAATAACTTAAAAGCATTAGCGAGTCATAATTTGTGATTAAAAAACTACGATCTGTTCTTTCAGGAGGTGTCCGAAGAAGAGTTAGAGGTTGAAGAAGTAGTAGAAGGAACAGGGATGATCGGAGGCACTTGCAGGCTACTCGCGGCTGCACCGGCTTCCTCTCTATCATATCTCTCTCCAGATAGTGATGATGTTGAGGTGATTATAAAGCTAATAAATGAAGATTAGTTATACCTCTAAATTTGCAACAGTAAAATGGTTTTAAATCATTATTTTTTTACATGAGTAGCCTGAAAAATTATGAAATAAGTTTTAAATGAAATAAATACTAAATGTCAAGTATGGTTTGCATAATTTTTAAAGCAGAAATAACAATAATAGAAGAGACAGGACTCGAATCTGCCACTCCCACTTGCTTTAATGACCTCAACAATTATAATTCTTTTAATTCTAGATTTTGGATCAATCGTACGAAGAGATCGAACTAGATGTCACGGAACCCGTCAAGTTCGACTTGTCCTTCACAGAAGACTACACCAGTGAGTACATTCAACATTATTAGCAAGAACAGCAAACCTGCTCTAAAGAGCACGCATCAGTTTTATATGTCAACGTATTTTTATATATTTTCTTATTCTATTTATCATTTTTAATCTGTATTTTCCTAACCTGTGGCTGAAGGTGTTGGTCGTAGTGTCGAATACCTTGTATCATCGATTATTTTCACTTTCAAGCGGTATGCAAAATAGGGCCTCCTTAGGAAGGAACGTCAACTCGGTCTTAACGTTAGAGCATGGTTATGTGTGTGTATGTTATGGTTTTATTATCAATCTAAGACTTAAATACTGTCTATAGTTTACGCGAGTAGTACACATTTAAATAAAACACTTTGACGGTTTAAAACGAGATATATTAGTTAAACTTATTTGAAAATGATTTTTAACTTCGGCCCGACGTTTCGGATGCTTTGCAGCAGCCTTGGTCACGGGGAGACTGATTTTCTAATAATTTTAACTAATATATCGCGTTTTAAACCGTTAAAGTGTTTTATTATACTTATATAAATTGATCTTATAACTTTCACTCTACAATACCCGGGCCAGTCGGAAAACCGGCGCAGCTGAGTATGACAGGCATTCATCAACACAGCTGAAACCAGAACCGATGGACATTTCTTATCTATTTATTATTTATTCATTACTTAAGCACTTTAGTAGTTTTAAGTTTACGGTAACGTGTTAAAAGGGCGATAAATAGTTTTGAATTTATCTTATGAAGCTTAAGCATACGTTTTTCTAATCTAATCGTTGTGCGTACTTTTAGTATGACAGTTAATAAAGTAATTTTTTCCAGTTCAACCAGCGAAAAGAGCGAAGACAACATTCGTCTACAAACCGATGAGCTCCCAGTCCCACACCAGCAGACGGAAGACCCCCCTCGTCAACCGAGTGGCCCTAGTTTAAAGATAACCGAATTGTGATTCGTGGAGGACCCTCCATCTCTAGCATTAAGCATTGTATTGTGTTCCATTTATTGTGTAAACACGTTGAGTTCGGAGATATCGTGAACTGTTTTGTTCGACTGTGAAAGTTATTTAAGTTTATTTTAAGTGGCACTTGATACGGATCACTCGTTACACCGTACACGGGACCGAGCGTCGTCCCAACAGTGGGAACTGCTAACGGCTAATGTATAGCTTAGAGATTAGAAAGAATTTAACATTTCTCAGTTTTTTAACGAAGACGAGTTCTTTTAGACTGTCGGATGTAATCGCGTTCGACGATTAGTTTAAGTAGTTTTACATAATGAAGAGTACAAAAGTGTGAATTTTCAATTTTGCTACTCCATTCGTTTTTACACGATCGTAGTATTAATTGTGAAGTATCAATGTAGAAAGAACTATAGCGGGTATTTTGCCGAATGTCCCACCGCTTGTACATATTATTTTAGTCGCTTATTCTCGTTGACACTGGCAGTCGTTGTCGATATTTATTCAAATATATTCATGAAACTAGCCCGTTTGGTGAATACATTTGATGAATGTTACATTCAAGATAGCGAGCACACAATTTTTGACATTCCCAGGGCGATGCTGTTTTTTTAATGATACATCACTTGTATCAAAGACATAGACAACATGTAGAAAAATGCATTGCGTATAGAACAAGAGGTCCTAGATTTGAACCCTGGAGTAACAAACATTTGGTTAGGTAGGGCACACAAGGCTGATCACTCGTTTAACTATGATGGTAGTGAAACAGACATTATAATGTGTCTGTTCCAGTCACAAAAGTGGATATGACTTAAAATCAAGTTAATATACAGAAATGAACTTCAATTGTGGTTAGCGAACGAAACAATATTTTGTTTATTTTTGTTCTTATATTATTCTGACATAGTTGGGTTTAACTATACATTGGAGTTATATAAGAACCTAGCATTTACTAGTTTAAGAGAGAAAATGAATTGTATGTGAATGGCAAACACAATGGTGATTACGAAAATCAAATTAAGGTGCGTTCAAAGCAATAAAAACATTGTATTTGTGTTAGTGATGTTCGGGCGGTAGAAATTCATGAATGGTTTGTTGTACGTGTGCGGTACCCGTAAACTTACGTCACACGAAATTATTAGTATTATATACATGGAAATTATAGTACCATTTATTTACAGATTAACTGTAATATGTCCAGCAAACGCTGCGTCTAGTATTCAAATTTAAGTCAATACGGTTGATGTCATGACATTGGTATTGTTTGAATGAATGCGTCGAAAACTTATGACTAAGACAAATTCAACAGATAAGTTGAAATGCGACTACCATTCATGTGACGTAATTACGGAGTCATGCCCAAAATTAATTACATTTCTCTTTTGAAAACATTAATATTTTTCACATGTTATTGCACATGAAGGCACTATATAATTAAAGATCGAAAAAATTGAAAAAATTTTCGACTCGGGCAGGACTTGAACCGGCATCGTCAGCTTTGGTAGAGCAACAGCACGGAAAGCTGACGATGCCGGTTCAAGTCCTGCCCGAGTCGAAAATTTTTTAAATTTATTTTCGATCTTTAAATTACATTTCTCTTGACAAGGAAGTAGGGAAGACAGGATTACAAGCTAAAGGCAATACTCCTAAAAGTGAAATTTGGATAATGATTGATATTTAATTTTGGGCTAATGCTTCAATCTACTTCCATACCACGATTGTGTCTTTGTATTGCAAAATGTTCCTAAATCTAGCAACACCAGGCAAAGTCGTCGTATGAAACTAGACCGTGGAGATTTTGATAAATTTTCAAGGGCGAGTTAAAGTAAAAATGGTGCCTGAGCGCTAGTCTTAGGAACTTGTCTTACCACTGATGATTTTGTTGTGGCATTCCATATTGTATCTTACTTTCAAAATTCAAAACAAACCTTAATTCACCTTATATTTTACTCCTCAGTGGTATTACGAGTTCTCTAATTCGATAACGATACGAAGGCAGATAAGTCACATTACTCTGATGCTTGCGCTTTTAAATATTTTCCATTGTGTACTTATAAGCTGTAAGGGTTGTATTTACAATTGAATTTCTGTTTTGTACCGAATAAATAAGGATAATTCTAATTTTGGATATCTCACTGCCAGTATTTCGACATGTATAGAAGCGCTAAAACTAAGAGTAATTAATAGTTTAGTTCTGTAGTTTCGACTAGAACGTGTAAGTTCAGTGATTTTTAATAATTCTTTTGTAATAAAAATGAAAATAAATGACTCTAATAAAAATTAACTTTTATTATTATGGTTATATAGTTTAATTATTTAAAAAAACATTCTAGTTTTATTTAATATATAGTTCTTAGTGATGTAAATAAATATGTATATTTTGCCGAATATAGGATGGTAAACTTGACATGAGATAGAAACCATTTCATTATTTACTATTCTTATAGGTTCTTTGAAGTAACTTAAATCGATGCCCCTTTCCCCATGCCAAAGATGCATCTTCACTTTGTGTCAATTGCCACTTTTAAAAGACAAAAAAGTTATCTGTGACTTTTAATTTTGACAATTAACAATAATCACAACAAAGGCAACCATGCAGCCTTGTTTATAAAATAAAGTATAAACTTTAAATAAAAATTAACTTCACTCCAAAAAGAAACCGCTGGTTCCGAATGTGCATAAATTGAAACATGACTACTCGCGAGATTTTGACTTTACAGTTCGGACATTATTCGAATTATGTGGGCGCACACTTTTGGAACATACAAGAACAAAGTTTCGATTACACCGGGACAGTGAAGAGTGAAGTAAATCATGATATATTATACCGCGAGGGACAATCTTCTAAAGGAGAAGTTACTTATACTCCAAGATTATTACTAGCCGACCTTAAAGGTTCTCTTAAAACCCTACCTGCTAGTGGAGGGCTAGAACTTGAGTCAAATAGTATAGATAATGTACCTTGGAACTCCGTGGAAAAGATTGAAGAACCTACAGCAGATAAAAACGAGTTCCTCACAGATATAGATGCTGAAGATCCTCCGGATACGAGAAACAAACAGTATGTTTTAGATAAGGATGTGAACACATGGACTGACTACTTATTTCCTAGGTTTCATTCACGCACAGTAAATATTATTAAAACCTATCAACATGGTGATGACCAAGTAAGTTAAGTCGAATAACAATAAGATGACAAATAAAAGTTATACTGTATTGTTACAATTATTAACAAAGTAGAACTTAAAGCCATTGTATATATAAATATTTTTTTTTAATATCTAGTATATAAAAAAAGCTCATCAATATATTTTACTTGTTTTAGGTAAGCCTTGATATAGGATGTGCTGGCCGATCAATATGGAAATCTGATTTTGGTGAAGCATTTGCAGACAACATCAGAAAATATGTTGAGGAATGTGACAGCATGCAAGGATTCCAAGTGAACTTTGACTGTTGCGATGGTTTCTCAGGACTTGCTTTGGGGTGTATAGAGCATTTAGCTGATGAATACACAAAATCTATACTGGCTCACCCCATAATACCTTCATATTTTAAGGATAATGATGCAGTTACTCAAGAAGAGAGAGACAAATCCAATTTAAAAGATTCCATTAGACTTGCCAATATTGCCTTATCCATCGAAGAGTTATCTCAATATGCAACTCTATTTGTGCCTTTATGCTCTGGAGAGAGAGGTTGGAGAAAACCTGGAAATCCCAGAATGTTTGACTATCTTAATTACCGACCTGAGTTATATTATCATTCCTCTGCAGTTTTAGCAGCAGCTGTTGATACATTAAGTCAAAAATATAGACATAAAACTAATGCTTACTCCATGTCAGATATCTGTGCAGATTTGACAGGATATGGAAGAAAAATGGCAGCTGCCTCACTGGGTATGCCATTTGCGTTCCATGAATCAGAGTATTTGATAGACTACTTAAATAATACAACAAAACCCATCTACACATCTCTAACACCCAATTGTAAGATAGCTACAGATAAAATATTCCAATTAATTACAGTTAGAGGCATTCCTGAAAATTACCTGAAGGCCCCTATGAATGAAGCCAAACAACAGATGAATATTCCAGCTTACCGATGTAGAGATGTCAAAGAAATGTTTGAGTTATATTTTCAAGCAAATAACTTTCTGTCAGCAACTAATGTCACAGTTTGTGAAAAGCCTTTGCAAGTGGTATCCCCGTTTCCAAATATATTTTCTGAAAAGCTTAATAAGTATGGATTTGTTCAGGATGCTGTGAGAGCAGATAATATGCAGAGCTGCCCAGTCGTAAGTGGTTATCATAATGGAAATTTCATTGCTGACATGTTAGAAAAGCTGCATAGAGAGGTGAGCAGAGTAAAATTTACAAAACTGCACAAGTTTCAAGAGGAAGGCATGGAATTCACTGACTACAAAGAAAGTCTTGATAGACTCGCCGAGTTTAAGGATAATTATGAAGATGATTTTGAACTATAAAACCATATACTTTTAGGATCCACTATGTTTTAAAAAATCTGTTAATTCTGTATTACTAACATGTATTTTTGAGCATTTGAGAAATTTTTATGTAATATTTTGCTATTGCAAAGTCTAAACAAACTAAATAATCAAAATAAAGAATGTAGTGGGTCCAAATTGAATTTAACTACATGTTGTCACAAGCTTTAAAAGTACACAAACTAAAGAGTCTATAGATTCATGTGTTTTATTTTTATTTATTATGATTTAGATAAAATAAATCACATCGCAGTCAGACGTCCACAATTGTACACATTTACAGCCTTAACCTAAACGATCACGATGACCTCTCGAGCGCTCTTTCCTTCATTCTCGTTATAAATGCTGCTCCTTTGTTCTTTCTGAAGTTTTCGTACGGGTCATTGAGGTTTACTCCAACACCTGGTAAAATAAATATGAATCAATTTACAGTACTTTATATGTGGACCGACTTCATAGCTTGAAGCCCTAATGTGTTACGTAGATTGCGTTAAGCAAGGGGACTGGGTACTGTGTCCCAGGAAAGAAACTTTTTTGGTGTCTGGTCACCAAAAAAGACTACTTGAGTGCACAATCCAATACTTACAATCCCGCCTTGTATTCGCGATCTATAGTTAATAAGTGAAAAGAAATGCATATTGGTTTATAGATCTCACCCTTATATTGATCCTGCCTATCACGAACTGTGCCTCCGCTGATCGGTTCAGCTATACCTTGGCCAGCCGCCCCTAATCCACCTTGTCCTGCCCAACCCATCTTCTGCAGCAACTGATGACCTTTGTTGCTGGAATCTATACCGCCTGATGTACTTGGATATGTCGATCCTCTAAATGTCATAAGAGTTAAATTATATGTTCACATAAGTTAAAGGTAAGATTTAATTTTATAAGTTAGAATTTTCGTCGTTGCGCTTACATATTTAGACAGAAAGAGACATAAATTTAATAAGCGTACGGTTTACACGCTCGCGAAGTGTTAAAAGATTTTGTCCCACATAGAAAAATGTCGGTGTGTTATTACTAGTTGTATGGTTATGAGAGAAAAATAAGATTCTATCATATCTCTTGTAGTACCAATACATGAGTCGTATTGGGAGTAGTACAATTTTGTAGATTTATTTAATAGCGCATTCCTGTTGATTTATTAAATTAAATACAACCAAGGGTTTTTATCTCTAATCTGACTTCTACTCTTCTTATGTATTGAAGGCATTGGAATTAGTTAAATATTGCGCTTACAGACAATTTAATAGAATTAGGTTTGATTTCCGTTCTCATATAACTAAAAATTAAAATTTATTAAGAAATATTTAGTAAAAGGTAATAATATGTAAGCGATCTTTTGATGTACCATAATAAATAAGTAAATTAACTTTTACTTACAGAAAACTAGGTGGTGTCGGAGATCGCGACCGCTCGACTCGCCGCATCTTGCTGTCTCTGTCGCGCGACGTGTCGCGGTGTCTCTCTTTCTCGCGGGAACGACTGCGCGACCGCGATCGCGACCGTGACCGCGACTTGCGACGATCTAGACGCGAAGCGCACAAAATATTGTTGATTGTTTTTTAAAACATATTTACGTGTTTTATCAGTCCTTCCACATATGCATCAGTTATGTATATAAATAAAAATGTGACGAAAAAATATAATTAAACAACTTTCGGTAATGTCGCTGTAAGTCACTAAGTAAAGTTTTGTTACCCTAATTTATCACACGATTTTTAATAAAAATGTCATATCAGTCATATCATTACTATCTCTTTCTCTCCTCCAGTTGGGCCTTCGTCGTGGAGAGGGTGATCTTGACTTTGACTTCGGTGGGGACTGCACAACCGGCTTCGGCTCTGGCGATTTACTTAGAGATCTGTTTACATAAGTATTACTTTAGTTATAGTTTTTATGAAATTGATGGTCGTTAGACACCTATAAAACTGCAAGTGCAAATATCACGTTTGAGTTTAGATATAATTACCTATATCGCCTTCCTGGTGGGGTGGGTTGTTTTTGAAGGTCTTTGGGTATCGGTGAAGGTGACCGAGACTTCTGCCGCCGTCCAGCAGCAATGGCCTCTTCTTTGTTCTTTCGAGCCGCGTTTTTCGCTTTGTAGTACTCGTACAGACCAAGTTTCTCCCATCCTTCACTGTTTGGGGTTAAATATGATAAAGAGAACTTTTTTGTGAATCAAAAATCATACTAAATATTTCACTATAAGATATTATCTATATTATTGTTATATTAAAAAAGGACTGTCAACCATGTCTAAAGGTGGACCTTTAGACATGCTTGCAGTGCATTGTTGTCACATTTGGGAAATATTTGAAGATAATCATTAAAATCTAAATAATGTGAATCAAGGGCTTAAATATCATATACACTCCTAAGATTTCAAATGAATACTTACTTGTCTCTCGGTCTCTCATGGTTAGGCGATGCGTAGAATGCATCAACAGCTGCTAAAAGCCGCTCGTTTGGCGGCGCAGGCGGCGGTAATCTAATTTTTCCTGGCTCTAAAGCCTTATATTTATCGTCCTCCAGCTGAAATTAACATTACATATTAATACAACGAGCAACATTTAGTACACTGAGAATGATAAAATGGTTGAAAATTACTTCAGAAAGATTAAAGAATAATAGTGGAGATTTTTTATTATTGGATAAAGATAATTAGTAGAAGGGGGTACATCAATTGTAGGGTTTTCAAATAATTATATATTTTATGGGAACACAACAAGCCTGTATTATGCAAATAAGTCTAACATTTAAAATGTGAAAACAAAACCATTTGACATTATAAATGTTAGGTTACATCATGAATAACTAACACATCGTAGTAATCAACTTGGTACTTCATCCATCTACCTAGCCAAATTCATGCTGATAATGTATTGTGGTAGATGATACATGTAAACTGACGAATGCCTAATCTTTGGACGTTAATCTCTTCAGGATTTATTTTCTTAATGGGAGAGTCTATAAGATTGTATGTAAGGTTTTTTTGCTGAGCTGGAGATCAAACTCCGATGTATTATACCATATACACAAGAAACAAAATTATTATCCTGGCATATAGGCTGTAAATACTATGTATTTGATTATAGCAATAAAATATGTTAAGCATCACATGTTGCCAGGTCATGCCCCACCATTTTAAAAACTTTGATAAAACAGACTAAACTCCCACTCACCATAATAAGAGGTACCATCAAACCAGCAGGCAACTCAAAGTAAGGAACAGACGGCATCAGGTCTTCATTATTAAGTTCAGGGAAAGGAAGGAACCCTGGGGGCGGCTTACTAAGGTCGGGAAGACCATTCTGGAAGGCCGGCGGTTCCGGTTCGAATCCAGGTGGAGGTTGGGAGAAGTTTACATTCGGGAGGTTAGATAGATCTGGTTCTTCCTCCTTTTGATTCATCTGTTCAAACATCTGACTGTCATAGCTGTTCTCATTTCCACTTATACTATTGTTTGATGGATAGTTATCTCCACTTTCACTGCCATAGCGGTGATTCCCGAAATTCTGATTGTAGCCCATTGGATAGTTTGGACCATCATTGAAGCTACTTTGGAATGGATTTGGCATATTAGACTGATTGTCCTTATTGGAATCTTGTTCGTTCAACTCTAGAGCGTGTTTCTGCATCTCCATCTGTTGTATCTGTTGCATTGTGTGCGCAACAAACGCTTGGTGCTGTGTTTGATAGCTGAAAGAAAATAGATATAGTAGACCATTAGCATGAGGTCAAATAAATAATGGTCTTGTTTCAATAAAAGGCTATGAAAGGATAAAAGACATTTTACAAGATGTTCCATCATACTCACTTTTCAAAGGTAGCCTTCGTCTGCTGCGCCAAGTGTGCAATGGCATTAGAATGCTGCGCGATCAGGTTATTCTGGTACTCTTGGTAGGAGCTGGTGGGACTCTTCATTTTCTCTATAACCGCCGAGTCAAAGTAGTTCGACTTGGATTCCCACAATCGCAGTAGCTTGTTAAGCTTAGCCTCCTGCTCTTCGGTGACCGCTGAAATGCCACAACAATTACGTGGTTGTCACCATATCACAGCTGACTCAAGCAAGTTTTACCTGACTGACAAACCACAGGATGATGTCTAGATGTTAAATAGATGAGAATGCACAAAAGACAAGAGACCTACGACTTGAGGACATTATTGTAAATATGTTACCTATACTGGCATTGCAAAACATTGGAACCACCACATTTTCCAAATTTTTCTTGAGATCTTCTGCGTTTTTGCGTGCACTGTAATTAGGAATAAAGTATCATAGACACCGAATAACTTGAAAGGGGAGTACACAAGTTAAAAACGACTCATCAAAGTAACGGTCCAAAACACTTCAACAGATATAAAACATGACAGACCCTCACTCACTTAAAAAAATATATATAATTTGTAGACGTTAAGTGTTAAGAGTATTTTGTGCAAAGAAACAAACTGTGATTTTTGCCAAGAGCAACTATAAATAAAAATGACAAGAGAAGCAATCTGAGCCCCCGAAATGATAACACCCAAACTCCCGGCAAACCCAAGTTTTGATGAAACAAAAAATTGCATGATTTGTTCTTGTTACTAACCAGTGGTGAAGGACATCGTTGACAAGGTATATTATGTGTAGCTTTTGCGTAAACGCCGCCCCTGGCTGTGTCACCTTCCGCAGTAGGTGTTGAGAGATCACTTTGCCTGCATCAGGAGTTGTTGCATGTTGCAAAATCCATCCTTTTCCTGTAAGATATTATGGGTGTGAAGGTCTAATAGCTTATACCATTCTCAATAAGAAATTTGACAAATGTACCTGCAGATATACTGTCCTTAGTACATGACTCTATAATTGGTTGCAAAATGCTGTCCAACTCTGTAAGACTGATGTTATTGTCCTCTGCCATGATTTGAATTGTCTCCACCTGAGCCTTGCTTACCAATTCGTTTATTTTCGTCTGTTGCTGTTGTATGAGCACCTAAAAAGTAATATCAAGTGAGAGACAGACAAATTAAAAGGTATTAGTTATTAGAAAGTCAAACTAATTGTAGAGTGAAACTTGTATAACTGTCAAAAAGTTGTCTTGTGCAGGTACCCTATTGATGATATTCAAGAATATGGCAACAAATTGTAAAATTTATTTTTCACCAAAGAAATTTTCAATAATATGTCCAATAAAATAAGAAAATGTATGAAATATTGTTACGTGAACATGCTTTAGTTAAACTAAATTATCTCAAACCGCAATAAAGTGATTAGTGTCAGCAGTTTTGCTAGTAGTATGGTAAATTAAATACTGTCTATAGTTTACGTGAGTAGTACACATTTAAGTGTTTTATTTAAAAGTATGATACATTGATTTCTATATAGGGAAATATTGTGATCATGCAGTATAGTAAAAATATTAACTTAAACTCTTTGAGGTATACATGCCCAGTGTGACTTGCCATTTAAAATCCTAATACTGAAAATTTTTAATACACAGAAATATCTTAGATTTCTAAATTAGAGTAAATATTACATATATACAGTTTTCTCAATATTTAAAATTTGAACAAACTAGAGACAAGGTACAAAAATAAAAGAAGCATTGTTAAAAACAATTTCTCTTCTGATTTTTGCTTTATAACATCAGACACACTGTGATAAAGTAACTAGTCCCTAGATTGGGAACTACATTATAGGGTAGTAGTTATTCCAAAAACACATAAGCCTTGATTGATTAAGTTGCTTAAGGTTATATCACTTACGTTATGTTGAGCATTTAAATTGTTCTCCGATTGAGTGATTTGGTCTTTTAAGATGTTGATCTGAGCATTCACGTTGTCAATCTCACGGGAGTGCTGCGGTGGTGGTGGTGCAGAGTTCGCCGCGAGCCATTGCTGTAGAGCTGGGGCCGCCGCCATCGTCGCAGCTAACCCTAGCTGGGCGGACGTCGCTCCAGCCTGTTGGGGCATTACATATTGCCTTGTCTGTGCCATATAAGCCCCGGACGGAGCACTAGCCGCCTGGCCACCGGCAGATTGCTTTAGAACTATAAACAGCGGAGGGTCACTTGAAACGGTTATAACAACGCGAACAGCGAACGGGCGCGACCCGACTATCTCTAAGTTCTAGTCACCATCGTCTATATGCTTACTTGCTTGCTCTGTTGTCACTTTGTACTGGTAGTAGTTAAAGTATTCGCCGCCGTACAGGAAACTGAACTTCGGGTTGTTTTTTTGTTTCGTTTTCGTCATCTTCTCGAATTCCGGGCCATTTCTTGCGACAAACTGTGCAAGTTTGTCGATTATGTTGCGAAGGTCTTGATCTGAGAAGAATTTTTTAGTTGCTCACATATAACCGATTAAGAAAAGAAGCTTAGGCTAAATTGAATTTAAGCTTACCTTGTGGCGGCTGAGGCAGCTCCATTTTTGATCTTGATCTTTTTAGGTTAACGATATTATACTAATTGTTCAAGCTCAGGCTCATTGTTCACTCTTACACTATTCACTGCACTTCAAAAATATATTATATACGACAACGATAATCAAATAATGTTATGTATTATAAATTCACAATTTACGAAACGTAAAATACAAAGCGGTAGCCATTTCATTTAATTCACAGATTATAGATAAGGCTTAAGGGAGTGGAGTTGTGATAACGATACAGATTGAAGAATAATTACTATTGTTTTACCATTATTTTTGCACAATGATCTTTTAACGTTTTGTATTTTACGAAATGGTTTGGTTACCAAGCCATAAAATTTTAATTAATTTCATTAGATGTTAACATCTAAAATAATGAAGCAAATAAAAATACTGTGCTATAGTTATTTATTTATCTATCTACTGTAGATCTTGCCAAAAAAAACTACAATAGGTATAATATATGTAGGATATATTAAAAAATAATATCTATGTGTTATATTGTAATTTTATATACATTATGTCATTAAATATGTTACAATAAAAAGTACTACATTTATACTTTTCAAATATAATAAAAATATATAATGACATTGACTAACATTGACTTGGTACTTTGTATTGTCAAATTTTATTAACTGTCAAACCATGTTCTTTGTGTCAAATATTTCGGTACTCAGATGCGGTGTGTTGTGTTTATTTTCATAAAATTGTAATAAAAATTATATCGATACACTTGTTAGCGGTTAAGCAGTCAAACAAAGGTAAATATCAAACGTACTTCAAAATGATTTATAGAAATTAGTATAGTGCTTGCAAGTACAGTGTTTTCTTTTTCAGCTATGGGTCGGCGTAAATCAAAAAGAAAGCCGCCACCAAAACGAAAAGCCATAGAACCTCTCGATCAACAATTCAACTGCCCTTTTTGTAATCACGAAAAATCTTGTGAAGTTAAAATGTACGTATTTTCAGTAGACATTTCGCATATTTTATACCTTTATTAAAGTTATTCTTTCTGTTGTCAGGGATCGAGCTCGAAATACTGCTCGTATACAGTGTCGAGTATGCTTAGAAGATTTTCAAACGACAACAAACGTGTTATCTGAACCTATAGATGTTTACAATGACTGGGTGGATGCCTGTGAAAGTGCGAATTAGTCGTAAAACGTTACTAATTATGATATTTTTTGTTTTTAACAATGTAATGCTTAAGGATTCAATATTCACTATAAAACCAATTACATTCCTCTACAACTGAGAATTAAAGATCTAATAAGAGGAATTCAAGTTGTTTGTATTTAAAACCTTTTTGTGCTTTAGCAACATCAGTAAAAAAGCTTTTAGCAGCTTTGTTTGCATTATATTAAAAGCTAATTTTTATGTGAAAATTTTTATATTCCTATATTTCAGTAGCCTTTGTAATCTCAACCAAGAATATACCATATCATGGCATTAATAAACTGCTGTATAGTTTTCATGTCTTGTGAACATATGCACATAAAATAGATAAACTCAAATAAATGAATAAATAAAAAATATTATGTTGCCAATTTAGTGTGAAAAAAAGATAAATGACCAAGTCATCTTTGCACTAGTATGGAATCAAAATTATTTCTTTTCAGTCTATGTGATTTTTTTTTGTCACATAAATTGATTTTGATTAGGTTATATATCTTATACGAAGCTGATAGTCTTTTCTTTAAAGTTATACAACTAAATGGTATGAATGATATTTACGTCCCTAATTTGGGCCCCTAAGGAATTAATTAGTAACCTTTATTTACCAAACAATTATGCTTTAAGTAGACACATTTTTGAAAGACATATTATCTTGGGTTATTAAATCTAAGATCTTTGATGCTAAAGATAGCTTTATCCATTAGGCTAAAGGCTGTAAAAAAAAACAGAGTCATTTTTATTTTACGTTTATTTAACAGGAAATTTTGCAAAGCTCAATCACTATGGCCCTGAATACATAGTGAATTTTGTATCAATTCCATATCGTTGATCAAGGCTATACTGACTATCTTCGCTAATAAATAGTAATTTGAGAATATCACCTACACATCCACAGAGAAAAATATTTGCTTTGAACACTACAGATTAAATGGTGCTCTAAAGCTGAAAATATGTTTATTGGAATGTTGTTTATATGTTATTTTTACACACTATGATTAACATTTACGATAAACACTTGATCATTTTGATAAACAATTTAACTAGGAATATTTTATTCCTTTAAGCAACACTTTAAGTACTCATATAACACTTAATAGTATTTAAAATTGTACTTTGCGAGAATTGCACGGAACTTGCATTTGCTACTTAGCATAAATCCAACAGCTACGTAAGATCTATAATACTATAAACACTTTGACACCTTCACTTAAGCTATAAAATATGATTAAGTCCACTTATTCATTTGCAAACAATGATAACACGCTTAGACATCACACAGATTATACATAAGACATTTTGAATTATGACATTGTTTAATGAATAAGTGGCGACATTTTAACTACGCAACAAAATATACCAGCGTCCAAGCTGTGTGAAATCACATTTCAATAAATTAATGTCTGAAACAATATAATACACTATAGACAATAATTGAGGTACTGCCTACGTACAACCCTGGGACTCTGTGACCGTGCCATACCGATAATCCGAGTCGAATGCCTATAAGTCGAAAGTATATTTACAAAGTAAAAATCGTCTAAAAATAAATCAAAAGCAACATATAAATATGACACAGTCCACAGACTTGCATACCACCGAGCCCTCTGTGCATAAGCTGTGGGATATTTAGCTCTTAAGGGTGTCAACAGAATACATCGCATATACCGCAGAGTAAAACGTGACTAATAACAATAAAGGTCTTTGCACACTCCACCGTAACGCGAAAAATATCGACGCCGTTCTAAGGCATAAGCCATCGATGGCTATGAAGGCATGGTCCATATATGTACGTTAATAAAAACAATACTGTTTGAGACGGTCCTGTTATGGATGTTACGGCGTAGTGGGCGACTACCGTAATACGGAATATAACTCATACACAGAAGTTAAAATTTTCCCATATCTATAAAGGAGTCGTATTGCAATTCGTTACTATCATATAAGGTATCGTCTTCTGCAGGATCGCTTTGTGAGGGGGTGAGGAATTTCGTTCCAGTTGCATCTTCACATATCGCCGTGTCATCTGAACTTCCACTATGGCTATCTATATATTCGAACAGTTTGTTATCCGTATCCTTACCTCTAGCAATCGCATCGAATGAATGAGAAAGCGAAGCGTCTTCAAAAGGCATGGGTATATCTCTGGAGGAAGCGTCCTCCGTAAACCTTCCAGAATCAGCTAAATCCGAAACATCTTCAGGTATATTGAGCGATTCCATGACCAAATTCGCCTCATGCCTATCCAAACTGTTTGCAATATTTCGTCTACCCAAGTTATTGTGTGTATCCTCTGTATAGCCCGTCTCTTGTCTACCGTCTACTATATTGTCTTTGGTGATGGTAATCGATTCGTCGTCAGTGTCAGCGTTTAGAGTGACTTCGTCCTTCGCTTGGTGATGTTCGAGATCTTCGACGCATTTAGTCGAATCGTCACTGTCCGAGGCTAGTTCGAAGCTGCGTTCGAGCAGGCCTGTGTCCGTGCAGGCTGAGAAGTCATCTTCGAACACGATTTCGACGCTTCTAATTCTCATAAGGGGCATCTTGGCTGGGGAAACCTCGTGTCCCTTATTCGTCCTGACAATTTTGCTGCTGAGGTCTGTGCAATCGCTAATATCGTCGTAGTCTATCTCGATGCTTCTAAGATCCGAAGCGCAGGGCGAGCACTCTGTTGCGCGGGTGGCTTTTGAAGAAAGTGAGGGGTGCTGCGGTGATGGAGAGCGCGTGGTATGCGAATGTATTCCCTAAGGTTGGAGCGAATCTTATTGTATGGTAGTGCCGACGTCCATGCCGCCCTCTTCCTGGATTTTTGTCAGGAATTTGAATACTCTTGACTCGTCGTCTGTTTGTTTCACCATGTCCACTAGGGCTAGCAGTTTCTTGATGCCGATGAAGATTCTGGAATTAATATTGGAATGTTATTTACGAATGGAATTTAGTACTCTAAGTGGGCCACTATAAAATTTGTAGAATAAGAGATTTCAATTGTGTAGATTTGTTTCTACTCTAACCTATAAACATACAGTATGTTTTATATTAAAATCTCATAATATTATTCAAGAAACATCTGTGTTTAATACATAGTTTATTTTTTACAATGCCATTAACGATATACAGTTTTGATTGAGTATGAAACAAATATTGATTAAAAAATATGTAAATTCAACATTTCAACAAAAGTAATACAATTAAACAATAATAATACTAACTTAGCTCCGCGTAGTTCCTTCTGTATTTTGGCGAGGTCTTTTTTCGAGAAGGCGTCGCTCTCTTCTAGCACGGCGAGCACGTGTTCCGGCTGCGACAGGTTGGGCACGTGCAGCACGCCCGTGAACGCAGATAGCACCTCCATGTCCTCAAGTACTTGTCTACATAAACAAACAGTATTTTTGTCATCATACGTTCACTTAGTGGTCCATCTAAGTGCAACCGGAATCATTTCGGGTTGGGGAGGGGGAGGGGCAAGCCCCTGGCATGGGTCACCCCATGACTACCCCCTGTATCTTATGAAGATGCTTTTAACTTATAATTAATTCATAATACATACCGTCTACTGCTCGTGCAAAGAATGAGCAATTTCCGTCCCTTAGGCGGCTGTTTCTTGAGCAACACGAGCAGAGCTTGCAACGTCAAGTTGGAGTAGCGAGGCCCAATCGGTCCGTAGTCCAACAACCGTTCGATGTTGTCCACCAAAATGCACGAGAGACTTGAACGATACGCGTCGTCGAAATACTGTAAGAGGGATCATTTGAAAACTTTAACATCTTTTAAATAAAACACTTTAACGGTTTAAAACGCGATATATTAGTTAATCTTTCTATTTGAAAATGATTTTCAACTTCGGCCCGACGTTTCGGATGTTTTGCAGCAACGTGTCTCACCGTGACAACTAGGGAATCGAATAAGTTTAACTAATATATCGCGTTTAAACCGTTAAAGTGTTTTATTTAAATACTTATGTACGACTCGCGTACACTATAGACAGTATTTAACTTTAATATCTTTCACATGTTATTGCACATGAGGCCACTATATAAATATATCGATTTCTAATTTAGAGGGATAATTTATTAGATTTTTATTTAAAAAAAAAATTAATTAATTTAGCAGTTTCATTAGTGATCATAAGACTACCAAATCTTGACCTATGAGGAGTCATTTCAATTATTTTTTAATTAAAGACAGTTTTGTAACCTATCTATTAATTAATCATTAATGCATATTAGTTAGCTCCCAAACAATAATATTTTTAACTATTGCTATGGTTGCTACGGTTGTCAACTTAGGACCTCTGTTTAACTGTTAATATAAGAATGAATATTATATATTATACATATCACAGTCTGACGGCAAATTAAATTATCACCTTTCGAATTTGAAGACACTTTGCAGTCTCGGTGAAGCCGACCATATCCTCAGGCGAGCAAACTTTGACGAAGGGGAAATCTGATAGTTTGGCTAATTGCGCCGCCAGCGCCGTCTTGCCGCTGTTTGGAGGACCTTCGAGAAGTACGGAGACCAGCCCTGGGGAAAACGGTGTTGAGGGGGGTATATTCATTTCAGGCCACAAACGGGCTTAATACAATTAGATGGTGTTCTGTATAAATGTTATAGAGAAAATGTCAATCCTTTTTGGCTACTTAAATCAATCGTGTCTGTAACTAAATGGTTGAAGATGTTGCCTAGCATTGCGTAGAACGCGAGAGGGCCTGGGTTCGAATCCCGGGGAAACAATAAATTGCTCGGGTAGGATAGAGAAGTCAAGATCAACTAACTATTCAAGGAGCGATCGGTGCCCCACGAGAGATGTAGTCCATAAAAATAGAACGCATTTAATTATGTATTTTATTGTATTTTTTAATCTAAAATGTGGAAAATGGCGTGCCCTGCAAAAACGGTTTAGCACCAAAAAATTTGTATGAAAGAACGGAACTTGCTAGAATAAATTTGGACGCCCATAATAACTATTCCACGCGGACGAAGTCACGGGCACAGCTAGTTTTACGTAATTTAGAGAATAAGTAATAATTCTCTTGTATTTTCTCCTTTGTGTGTTGAGACTCGTTTCTCTAAACCTAAAACTCTAGTGTCACTTTACCGCTAGCCTCAGTAGCCCGTGCCTGCTGGATGTACAGCTGTCCGTCTTCAAGAACCGACGAAACCGGTGTTCCCCAGTTGATGACACCACGAGCTAAGAAGTGCTCCAATGCTTCCGCCGCGGTACCGAAAGCCTATAACCGCGAAATAAGGGTTTTAACAAATATAAACAAGAATATTTAAATAAAACACTTTCAACTGTTTAAATTGTTTTAAACCCATAAAACCCATTTTTGTTTAAATGTGTCCTACTCGCGGAAATAGACGAAACATAAAAATATTTATGTAATTTCACAAGCAAATAGTTTTTTGTGAAAAACCATAATTTTCAACGAATTCTGACTTAACCATGGCTGAAAAAAGCAAACCAATGGATTAAAGTTAAAAATCACGTTACACATTTTAAACCATTCAAAGTGCTGAACAGTTTGCTATTACACAGCTATATCTAGCAAGTTTATACACTGTCAAAATACCGACAATAGCACAGATTTAATATAAGCCGTCGTATCACAATACATTTAGACATACTTACCGGTTTGATATCATTTTCCAACGCGTGCAGGAAGTCAGTACGTTCCACCATGAGCTTTTCCATAGCCTCGGGATCCACCTCGACCTTGCTCGATGCCTTTATCAGCCTGTTCATTGCCGTCGACTGTGCAGCACGCACCAAACCTTCCAGTTCCGCTCCAGAGAAATTCTTTGTTAGTGCCGCTAATTCCTGTTAATCATTGCTGTTAGTCATGGTGTTCTTAGATACTTATATGCGAGTAAAAAAGAGATCTTGATTTTGCAAAAATGAATGCTTTGGAAGAGAATGAAGAGTTTGTGTGTTTGCAGGCGCTAATCTCCGATACTACTGGTTCGATTTATTGTTGGTTAGAGCATTTATCGAGGAAGGTGTAAGGCTAAAAAATTTCATGCCTAAAATAACTATTTTAAGCGGACGAAGTCACTGGCTGAGCATATTTTTCTTTAAACAATAAATAGGTTACTTATTATACCTTATTGTCAACTTCCTCCGCGATCTTCTTATAGTCCCTCATCCTTTTCGTATGAATATTCAGAATCTGGACTCTTCCTTTTTCGTCTGGGAGACCGATCTCCATTTGGACCTCAAGACGACCAGGTCGGAGTAACGCTTCGTCGATCATGTCCCGTCTGTTCGTCATACCGATCACCAGAATGTTGTTCAGCTGGTCCACACCTGGAATTGTGTGATGCTTAAGAATTTCAATGTCATACACATAAGTGTTTACGGAGTACGTAGTTTTTACATTAGTAGTTAAGAAAACTGGATTAATCCACGTATTTTCCAATATGGAGAAATTACTTACTGAGAAAGTAAATATGGCCCCAAATAAGAAATACATAAATACATTTTTTGGACAAAACTATAAATATAGATTAATTTTCATTAGAAGTAATATGTGATGCTATAGTCAACATTCAGTCATATTTAAACACGTTTAGCGCGGAATATATATATTAACGTGTTCCCCCGTAAGCACATCCCAAAGTTAAATATGTTCTACAAATTGCAAAATTTTCGAGACCGAAAAGCCGGGGTTCGAGTCCAGGAAAATGGTTTTAATTTATATCTTTGACAAAGTGACTGATACCATTTACCAAATATACTAAATGTGAAAGATGCCTGGAAAAAAATCCCCCTTTTTTCCCCTTTTTTTTTTCAAAAAAAATTTTTTTTTTTTTTTTTTTTTTTTTTTTTTTTTTTTTTTTTTGTTAGAATTGTGTCCGGCCCGTTTTGGAGAAGTAACTTCTCACTATCGACACTCACCATCGATTTTAGACAAGAGCTGATTGACAACGGTGTCGTGGACACCTGTGTTCCCACCGACAGAACCTCTCGCCTTGCAAATAGCATCGATTTCGTCGAATATGATTATGTGGAGACCGCTGTTCGGACCACACTGCGGGAGTAACATTGAAATTAACTTAGAAGACTTAGTGACATTTTGTTATAACGTTAAATGAAGCTGATCTAAGTTTAGAACAAGTCTGGTCTATGCCCCAAGTGGACGAGGAAAATAGTGAAATGATTGACCACTTCTAGACTATATTCTAGGGTTAAGTATGTTACCTCTGACATCACTTAATCTACACTAAACAATGGTATAATTAAAAGTTGCATTATTATTTACTTATAAGAAATAAGCAAGGAATATACAAAAATATGGTACCTATACAATTAAACTATAAATAGTTAAAAATCGCTAATAATCTAAATAAATCATAATTTTTCTGAAACATGAAGTATTTTAATTGCCTTGATATCTGGATATTAAATGTATGGAAAAAATATCGAAATTCCGTCCGGGTAAAGTTGTCCTACTCAGTTTTGTCCGTTCACAGACAAAATATCCGTAAAGTTTTGGTTTCAAGTCCATGGATTGCCGAGTTTCTAAAGCCATGGTAGGTTGACATCGCATCTTGTCCAGATGTTATGTCTGGGGTATTTCATCTACCATCAAGTCAACCATTTTTGGCTGTAACACATATTTACTTTGGTCGCTGTCTATGGTATATACGATTTAAAGAAACTCGGTCTCCACTTCCACTCACCCTCTTCTCTTCTTCCTCAGCATCAGCAAACAGCCTCCGAATGTTAGCCTCACTCTCACCCACATACTTGTCCAATATCTGCGGGCCATTGACGATCTTGGGCTCGCGCGCGTTCAACATCTTACCGATCTGTCGCGCCATCAGAGTCTTACCAGTACCGGGAGGCCCGAACAGAAGGATACCTTTCACGTGCTTGCATCCTATAATTAATAACATTTGTTACCAAATAATGTCTGTAGTTTACGCGTGTACACGTTGAAATAAAACACTAACGGTTTATAACGTGATATATATTAGTAATACTTATTTGAAAACCATTTTTATTTTGACGTTAGAGACACCCTCCATCTTTAGTCTTCCCATGACCACGGCTGCTGCAAAGCATCCGAAACGTCGGGACGTAGTTAAAAACAATTGCACGTTTTAAACCGTTGAAATGTATTATTCAATTTTTTTATATTTAATATTTTTTTTTTTACAATAGTACATTACTTGATGTACACTCTGTGATTTCGACTTACCTAATTGCTCAACCACCTCTGGCGGAAACACTCTCGAAGCAAAAGCACGTCGAAAAATGGCGTTAAATTCGTTGTCCAGACCACCAATGCCCATCTTTCCAAAGTCCCAATCTGGGTTGATGATGGACTGGCGAGGCTGTTTCCTATTTAAAAAAATGACAACTTCCATTAAGTGCCATTCTATTTAAATGTGTCTATGTGTGTAATTAAATAATATTTCGAATGAATTTATTCACGTCTTTTAAAAATCTATATTAAAAGTCCAATTTACACCCGTGTCTGATTGGTCAAGAATAAAATGTGATACAAACCCTTTGGCCTTCCCCACGAGGTTGAGCGAAGAGTTCTCCGCTTTGTCAAACTGGATGCAGGCATCCGGTAAGAGACGACCAAGCTTCACGCGTCGTGGTACCGCGTTGGCGCCCTGCGCTAAGGCTTGGACGTCCACAGCTGATTGCAAAAGATCATATTTAGAATTATATTACAAAAACGCTTAGTAAATAACACACTTAATGGAGCGAAGAGTAGCTAATCAATTTTTGACTTGACTTATATTTTTATAGTCTAAAACTGTCAAAGTACAAGAGCACCGTGACGGAAAATTGTTAACATAATTCTTACACAAGTAATAGTAGAAATTGATTTTTATTATTGTCCTTATTGAAAATCATGTAACAGTGACAATTGAGTATCAAAGTGTACCTTCTAAGTTCTTCACTATTAAAGAAAGTACTTTCTTCTCTTGAAAAGAGAAGGCCAGTTGCTGACCGACTGTGAAGACCTGGTTGGAAAACTGGATTAAGAAGTCCCTCGCCATTTGCTCTGAATCGTATGGGTCCATTGACGTTCTAAACAAAACGAATGGAGTTCTAAATTATATGATACTCTACACCAGAGATGCACATACCGCGGTCGGCCGGTCGAATACTGGTGCCCCGTCGACAGCAAAATAATACTCAAATTAATTTCAAGATTCGCTAGAGCAGCCACTAATCTTAATACGACTGTGCATCCTTACTCTACACCAAAAAAAAACTTTCAATGGCTTTGCTTGAATTTCTCAAAGTTTAACAAAGATTAAGGTAACACGATGTTTAATATGCCTTCTGACTAACCCAGGTTCTCGACAACTGACCTGCCACCTGGAAATCAAGGTTCTGGCAGTTGTCAGTAACTTGTCAGACCTTTTTTAATCCTATTAGTTCGCTTCAGTTCAGAAAATAAAGCAGTCTTAATACCTTACATTAGAGTATAAAGTTAGGATTTCTTTAAAATATTTGCTGACATTAGAAAATCGAGCATGTAGTAAGGACAACAATAATTAAGTCTGAAAAAAGTCAAAGTTATAATATTTAAATACCATAGCTAAAGATTTATTATATTTATTTGTTGAACCACTTTCAAATTTTTTATCACTTACGTCTTCTTGAGCATAAAGTCTGCTTCCAAGGTGACACTGCAGAGGCATTCTGCGCTTTGGGGCTTGAAGATTCTCACATCGATAGGCTGTGAATTAAATTTATGAAACATTTAATTAAGTGTTTTATACATTATTTCAGGCTATGCACAGACTTATTCAACAGATATGCATTTTTCATTAGCAAAAAGAAACTAGTTGGTATAGTAATTATTCTGATTGGATTATTCTAATTGTTTTGTACCAAAAATGTATTAATTAGAAGAGAGAGTAAAACAATTTTGAAGTCCCATTTCAATTTACTTTACTGCCTTTTTCTCTTTTTGAAGCGTGTATTTGTATTTATATTCATGAGATTACTTGTTGATAATTTACCTGCCCAATGGAGAGTGTAGCCCATTTTCTCTGTGGCGCTGAGAAGCCAACAGTGCCTCTGTCGACTCCGTTGTAAAATCTGATACTGAACACGAAATGTTGAGATGGTCCAGTTGATACTTCAATATGCCTAAAACATGATTTACAAGATAGTAATAATAAAATTTCAGCATATTATTGTCTTTCGGGCTGTTCGGCCTATGTGAGCGAGAAGAATGAATTCTTCAAACAATAGAGGAGTTAACATCTCCTGGCGATGCCGTCCACAAATGATGGTGAAAACGTCAAGAACCTATTCTCGCTCACATCGGCTGAACAGCCCGAAAGACAATGATATGCTGAATGATGGCCGTGAAAGCCTTACACAATTTAATAAAATTTCATTTAAGAATGCTAAGATATAATTATAGATTGTATAATAAATTATCCTTTCAATAACAGTGTCTTGTTCAGAGATTTTTTCATTAATTGATAAAAAAATATATATAAATTAAATTAAATCAAAAACTTATTTAGATTGAAAATAATAATGACTGGATTTTTTTTTTACAAACTAAATAGATTTTTTATTTATATAATGCCAACATGTGAAAACTATTAGTCTTTTTTATTAAAAAAAAAACATAAAATCTTTTAATAACAATTGCATGAAGTCATAGTAAAGAAAGATTACATACCTACTGTTATTGAGTCATAATTAATATGATTATGAACCTATCTTACCTAATTTTTGCATAAACACAGAAAAAAACTGATGATTCATGTTGTGCATTGCACATTTGTGAACAGAATCATGATTATAATTTTATAATACAATTTTGATAATGTCAGTAAAACAGATAATTAAATAAATAAGTCATGGTATGAATATTTTAAATTTAAGAATAAAATTAGAAATTTAAGTAAATATCAAGGGACTTCGTAAAATTATTAAAATATGTGTATAATTAAAAATGTACATACTTAACATCACTTGGGAAGTCATCAGGATTTATTAAAGCACAGTTGGTGATGGCTAACTCATCCGAGGGGCATTTTGCTGCTTTCATTCGCTGAAAATATATGTAACATTCGTAAATAAATTATATATATATCATCTTTATGTAATAATGCGAAATATTACTTAAAGCTATTTCTTGTTTTAGGCCTCTTCATCGCATTTAATAAATATAATTGCAAGAAAAAACACAATAAAAATACAATAATAATAATTCTGTACAGAATAAACGGAATTATAATAAATTTATGAAATGATAACTATTCAAAAATTTTACAAGTAGGAATTGAGTTATTATTCTTATTGTTAATTAAATTAAAATCCACTATAAACTTACAATTGTAGACATTTTTGTAGTTTTATTTTCAAAATTATGTTATGATTGTAATGACAGTAATGATTCACGTTGATTGATATGACATCAACCCTAAAGTTCACACGTCTGTCTGCCGTAATTTTTCGTCCCTGGGGCCTACCGCGACGAATATTCGGCCGCGGTGGTCTACCAATGCCTGCAAGAAGAGAAAGACTGCAGTAAAATGTTTTGGGTGAAGTCTTATTGCGTTTCGAAGCAAACTGGATCAATACTACAGAGAAATGTTGCTACCAAAGGAAATAGGAATATACACTTGCTATTGATCGGGACAGTACTATTTTAAAAAAAACAATTCTCAATTAAATATTAAGTCTATCAATAAATATGTTATTTGCAATTAATACACACTTAACAATTAATTGGAAATATTGTAAGCAAAATTGCTTTACCTTTTACCTATTTTATAATAAGTAAGTTGCTAACGTTTTGCTAACTAACATCATTTTCACGATTCCCTAACGTCACTTTTATCGTCTGTGGTCAGGCTGATTGTCTCTGTAGTAGTTGTTAATTAAATGTTTCTTCGCCGGATTTCAAACTGAAGTGTAAAGGAGATAGAAAAAAGGGTGGTGGCTTTGATGTTGTCGTTAAGTTTTTAAGTTTCACGGTACAATAAATAAAGTTTTCGAATGTTATAACTTAATAGTAACGGTATAAACTTCAAAATGAAACGAATACTAATCGTTTTTCTTCATATATTATTCACTGGTAAGAGCATTAAACACTGGAACAAGAAGTTAGCTTGTTATGTGAAACTATAAACAATGTTTTGATTTCAGCGAAATTAAGCTCCTCAGAATGTAACATTCCAATAGTTTTAAGAAACTCGTGGTTTTCTTTCGAAAATGGGCAGCAGACAACAACCGATATAAATGCTTACGAAATGACGGGCAGGTAAACTAAACGTACAAAGTTTTCCTGTTAAATTTGAAGCTTTTTTTTGATTTAGGCAAAAAAATAAAACTACTAGCTTACAAGTACTTAATAAGGACTGAACTTATTGTGTTTTTACGATCTTTAATTATTTTAGACGCTGTTTTAGTGATATCATTATAATTGTGAAGGCTGGGCAAATTAAATCCCTTAAACCCCACCTTTACTAGAAATTTATTGTAGCAAGCTGTTAAGCTTACTACAATAACTTACTTATACTTAGTTTCTATTGTATGATGCATATGCTGGTCGTTTAATAATCCCCTGTATTGGAATAATTTGCCATAATATCGTAATGTACTTTCAGAGGTGTGTGTGTTAATATCAAAGCAGAGTCTCAATCGAATTACACAATGGTATTCAAATATATAAACTGCTACTATTGTGTGAAACTTGTAGTAAGAACAGTTAATGTACTGGAGAAGATTGAGAGCACATGTGTAGATTTGGAGCCTCATGAAGAACCAACTGTCGAAAGAGTCTGTAAAAACCTGAATCCTGATCAATATTTCATTACTTTGTTTGCTGAGAATTTTGTTCCAGTAAGTACTTTTTAGCTTTATATAATACAGTGCACTCTTCATAACTCAAAAGTCAAAGCAAATGCAATACTGCAAGTAACCATATATTAACATCACAAACGCATTTACAAGACAAACACAATATATAAGATATTGGACCTAAGCATTCATTGCAAGATTTATTGATGTTTTTCTTTCTTTCTTTCTAACTTTCGAAATTACTTAATCTACTTAAAATATTAAAATATTTTAAAGTCAGAAATCTATACTCTTATTTCTTAATGATCTATTTGAATAGACCCTTATTTTATTATTCAGCTTTTCCATCAAATGGGATAGTGTACAAACTATGTTTGTAAAAACAGTTATTGATAATAATGTTTTTCTTATAGGTTAATTGTCGTTCATCACTTGAAGGAGTATGGCAGTTTGCTTATCAAAACAGGTTCAGGTTTACCGGAGAATGTAGCCACCCAGAAGCCCAGATAAAATCTTGCCAGACGGCTGGTACTCAGTTCTTGATTACGAATCAGAAATTTAATATCACTTATAGAAAGTGTTCCGGTATGTCAGGAACTTTTGAAGGAGTTGTGGAGTATAGTTGTTTAGGTAAGGGATTTATTTTGCTTCTTATTTTTTTTATCTTGCATACAGCGCATGCTTCATATAAACTAACATTTAAAAGTGTATCAAAAAACTAAATTGTTTTGTGTTAAATCATTAATATTTTTACATTTATGTAGATTCCAATTTATGTCAATCTAAATAGAAACCTTTAATATCCTATTGGTCTTTACTAATAAGCGAGGTTATATACCATACCAGTTATATGGCTTCTACACAAAAAATCTTCTATGAAATAAAATGAAAACCTTTTTTAAACAAAGATTATATCCTGTTACGTTTCCTTAGTGATAAAAAAAGCAAAATATTTATGTTAATAATAATGTCACAGGTCATTGGTTTGTGAATAAAAATCAGTTCTTCGCCGTCGCTAACACCAAGGAATCTCGTAAAGATGAGAGATACCGGTGCTTCTTGAGGAATAGAGATGACGACTTGTACATTGGAGCTTCTATTACTCCCCAATGCAGTACTTTGAAAACTGTAGAAAAGTCACCGGAGAGATACAGGATTACTCCTGTTAAGGTCAGTAGCCTTAAATCATACATAATTTCTTTACATACATAAAAAATACCTCAAAAATAAAAATAAGACATATGTTTACAAGTAAATATTAAAAAAAAACTTTAACATTAGCCAGCATAGCATAGCAGGTTTTACTTTCACACTAGAGACACCTTCCACCTTTAGTCTACCTGTGACCACGGCTGTTATAAAGCATCTGAAACGTCGGGCCGTGTGTTTGAAATCCCGTTGCCCCCCTTAAGGTGCATGAGGCTACCGCATTTCTGTGTCCTTTTCACTGATCCATTCTTTAACAGACAATTAGTTGATCAGACTTCTGTGCCCTGCCTGACCGATATTTTTTTGTGTCCCTGGGATTCCAACCCAGAACCTCACGTTCGTAACGCAACGCTAGGCAATACGTTTAACCATTTGGCTACAGATGCTATCATAAAGCATCCGAAACGTTGGGCTGTAGTTAAAATAATTTTCAAAATAACTAATTTCGTAATATCGCTTTTTAACCGTTGAAGTGTTTTTTTTTAAATACGGCCATTCGGTTTATTTACTATTCTGGTGAAACAAATTGTTTTCTTCAAAAATTTTTTTTTTAAATATTTGTGTATCTTTTTATTAGGCTGAAGTGGTAGAGCCTGGCTGTCGTTTACCTCAGAACTTTTCTGGTGATTGGATTAATACTGCAAATATTGATGCTGATGTATTCATCAACGAAACTCATATAATCGAAACATATTATCCAGATGAAGGAAGATATAGACGGACTATTTATGTTTGCAGGTCAGTCTTATGAATTTATTCAAAACTTTGTACTAAACATGTAGATTGTGCGTAATCCCGTTTCCCCTCGTGGGGCATGGGGCGAACACATTTCTGTGTCCGTATAACTGATCCGTTCTTTAACAGGCAAGTAGTTGATCAGACTTCTGGGCCTTGCCCGACCGAAACAATTTTTTGTTTCCCTGTGATTCAAACCCAGGTCTTCTCGCGCTTAACGCGGTGCTAGGAAATAGGTTTAACCATTTGGCTACAGAGCAGTCAAACATGTAAAGAAAAGTGTGAAAATGGTAATAAAATACTTTTAAGTTTAAATTATTTATTAATTTCAAACTTAAAAGATAATTTAGTATGTGCATTTATTAATTTACAAGAACTTCCGGTTTAAAAGAGAGATTGATTAGAATTTTGTTATGATTGAGGAAGACAGATAAGCATGATGTTCCATCAAGTGAATGAAGGTGAACCCCCCCAGCATTATAACATCTAAAGTAGATTTGCTGTCAACCTATTGGATATAAAAAAATGCACAAACTCTAGCCGAATAGCGAGTAAACTTCTCGGCTTTTTCATCTGTCATCACCCGTTTAATATCTAGATTGTCAGATGAACTCTAACATATTTCAGATAAATTATACATTCATAGATACATGTTAGAGGATCGCACCACAACTTGTTGATTATTAGATTTACATTACTACGATTACATTAACGAGCCTGTAAATATTTTAAATGAAAGTCCATCTCCAGTCCTTATCTCCAAAAGGTAGTCCAGGACTAAAACATTACATATCATATACACACATAGGAACTTGTTGACAGTGCTATTACAAATTATATCTAAATGATATGCTGTTTTACTGCACCTGTATATACATGTATGAAACGCTGTGGTCGTGGGTGCGAGGGACATCGGGTTTCCCGTCACACAAAAGATAAACCATGTTTTTAATTACAGAGAACAACGCGACAGCCGAGTGATGATGGCGCGTTTGACGGTGGATGGATGTCAGAAGGATTATGTTTGCTTTGATTTTGTACCTCAACATCACAATGTTATAAGGTATGAATGATTCTTTAACTATGTTATATTTATAGTTAACTAGCTGTAATCGCGACTTCGTCCGCGTGAAATAGTTATTTTGGGCATCATATTATTATTTTTACCAAGAACCTTAGCTTAGCGAAATATAATAATAATATTGCGTCGCCCTCCGCATGACGCAAGTTAATCTTAATATAGACATATACTATCGCAGAATTTTTTTTAATCGTTCAAAGAGAAATCATTCGAATATAAATATTTTTTGGGTATGGTAAACCGTTTTTGCAGCGCACGATTCGGAAACTCCCATTGGTCAATGAAACACAAATTTTAATCTCGAACCAGTTATTCCTGAGATTAGCGCCTTCGCATAAACAAACAAACTGTTCAGCTTTATAATATAAGTACAAATATACTTTTATAGTTCCATGCTAAAAGAGATCTATGTTGTATCTGTGATAGCTACACAGTTGAAATTTTGTATAAAATCATGACTCAAGATAATGATATAATATGTTTTACAGATACCGTAAAGGATTAGCAATGACCCAGAATAATTTCCACACAGTATGTTCATGGGTGCAATTCCAGAATAAACAAAAATGGCGCTACGATATTTTCCTGAAGAAAGACCCGACGCCGATACGTTGTCCTGTCGCTGGAAAATTCAATTTCACACAAAAGGGCGATGTCAAATTCGAAACCAGGATTCTTGGTGGAGTAACATTGAGTCCCCGACCGAATCTGTACTGTAAAATTAACATAAGTGATTTCTCAGTTTGCGATGTCGATCAAAAGACAGTACAGATAAAGGAAAATTACTGTCTATCTGTGGACCATTTGGGAAGACCAGTGGATATTTACAGTGATCCAGATTATAAGATGAAGTGTATTGGATACTGGAAGGAGAATTTGAAGTCATATCTCATTACATATGATGAACTTGACCCGTTTTCCAAGTACAGATGCTGGGTGTATCAAAGAGCCGATCTTAATAGGTAAAATAGTTATTTGTAATAAGCTAAGGAAATATTAGATAATTGTAAGAATAAAACTCGTAGAAAGCAATTATATATAAGAATCTCTATATTACAGGCATATAATACACTTTAAAAATTTAAACTTTGCAAGTTACAAGGTTTTTTTTTTTGTGGAAAAAGGTCTTAAGTTTTGCTTACAACTTTGTAATGTATTCCAAAAGTAAAAATATATTATCTAGGTATTGTGGTAGTCGGAATTGCTATGTGATTGCATGAGAAATGATTGGAGAATAATTTGTTTTTAACTACTCCAATTGAATCCGAAATAGTTTAAAAATTTGTACCCACCACGAACTCTCTCTCGACATCTTTGTTTTTTTACTCAACTATGATTTATGATGTGTTTTGATTTCCAGGGTGCTAATGTCCCAAGCCCTGGGAGCGTACTGCGATTTGAAGCAAGATGTGACATCATGGAACTACACAGAGGGCGCTGCAGTCGCTGTAGAAATGGAGGAGTACGAGAGAGAGCGCGATCAGTGTCCTATGCACTTTGACGATGGCAGTGACCCCTGGTCGACAAAGGAGAGCTTTATTAAAGTGTTTTCGTTCACATACTCTTTCTGGAAAAATAACAATAGTGCCCCGTTACAAGCAGCTAACTTGACATTTGTTTTAGTTGTTATCTCCCTAGTCAAGTGTCTATTTACTTAATGTATTATGACTAATATAGATTAAGAAACATTCCTGACACCTCAAACCGTCCCATGGAACTTTGCAGCTTTATATATAATATTATATACAGTAGAATATGTAATGGTCTGCAGCACCAGATCAATAGTTTTGCTACTTTAATATCGAATATAAACAAACACTTTTGATGGTTCAGAACCTGAAATACTACAGTTCAGTTGTAGTTAAAAATTAATTAACTAATATGTTAAGCATTTGATTTAGTGTTGATACTGCATTGAAGTTATGTTAGAGTAAGATTCAATATCTTTGCAGAGAGTTATTAGACTTGTAAATGTTGATCTACCATGCATGCCAAGCGTAGATTAGTTAGAAGTAATTGATTTTCAATATGTTATTTTATGTGTAATATTTAGCTACTTTAGTTATTTTAGAAGCAAAGATGCTGAACATTTTCTGAAATCTCTTAAAATTAGTTAATATTGCTTGTATTATTTAGATATCCATATTTTATAATATAACATACTGCACAAATGTTTTATTATAATTGTAAATAATATCTTAAATTACTTCTGAATCTCTGCTTTCTTAGTGCCTTGTTATACAAATATAAGTGAATTGAGCACTTTTTCACATATCCTTTAAATGAAAAAAGGTTTCAAGCGACATTAGTGATATTTCTCTAATTTGCTGAATATTATATATTTTTTGTATTTTTATTTTGTAAGTAATCCGTCCACTTTTACACATTTTTATAATAAACTTTTACGTACATAGCTTGGATTTTATTATACTATGGCCTATTTTAATTTATTTGGTGAGTATTAATGAAACAATACACATAAAGCATTGGTAATTCCCAATTTCACTTTCTTATATCATAGCTGCAACACGAGGTTACTCCATTTCCAGATACTCATGAGATTAATATCTTTTTATGGCTTGCCATTATATGAACATAAAAACATATAAGCTTAAAAAGAATTTATTGTTAGAATAAACTTACATATTAAAATATAGATTAATAATAACACAAACAAAGTACAATTTCTCTTTTCTCTATTTAGTCCAAGAGACTTTAGGAATATCAAAGTGCTCAGTGAGACTGTCCAAGTGTTGATTGAACCTTTCCACACGCTGCTTGTGGGTCATTTCAGCTTTCTGTTGAATCCTTTGACGTTGCTGAAACAATGAAAAAATCGAGTGAGTATGTGATCTGGAAAACTTGAACTCAGTCATATGGAGCAATTAAGGGGACACGGGAAGAGTTGGATGACCCAAATCTCTGCAAGGAGGAAATGGGTGAAATGGTCAGCGGACAACGTGGACTGATCACCCGTCCTTCCGAGGGTGTCCCCGATAGAAAATAATAAATAATGGAGCAATTACATAGAGAAAAACTGTAACACTAAACTATGAAATAACTATGTCCAGTACACATCTTGACAGAACATAATAGTTATAGCCTGGAACAACTATCGATAAAATTTATTAGAGGAACATGCTCATATAGATGATATGATAGGGTATCTAAAGAAACTAAATAATACAAATTGAATTTATTCTAAAATACGTCGTAATACTAAAAAATTACTACTTCTGATAGAAACAACATAACTATACTTTATAAGTAGTAGAAAAAATATTTAGACAATCACAGTTGTTATTGTTTGTTTTTGCCATTGGCTCAACTTTTCCTCCCATACCATTTTATAACAAATTATGAAACACATATAAAACATAAGTTACCATTTTCTCTTGCATTTTCTTAAATGCCAACTCTGCTTTAGTTCTCTTTTGTTCTTCGGTTTGCTTAATTTGTTGTTTCACTTCATTTTCGATGGCTTTTTCAGTTTCCTTGTTGCTTTTTTTCTTCTTCTTTTTCTTTATGCCAGAATTATCTTTAATTTTCAATTGTGCCCTGTTGACACAGGCGTACTCGTCTTCCTCAACCATTGTTGAGTAAACTCCTTAAAGCAAGAACAACAATTTTATTTGGATATTATAGGTATTATATTATAGCACTTCTAAAGTTGAGAAATACAAATGACGCATCCATGCATAATATCAATGAGTACATGAATGTCAACGTCATTAATTAAACTGACATAATATAAGTCAATTGTCAAATTCATAATGCTGTAAGAATAGCATAGAGTATATTCAAATGATCTTATTAAATTAATCCTATACTCGTACTTTTTTAAGTATATAATTACTATTATTCAAATGAAAGTGCTATTTTTGCTAAATAATTGTGACTAAGTTAGCGTCAACTAGATTACAGGGATAACATGTTTTTTTAAGACAAAAATCTGTTGAAATGTAGTAGCTTAATTGATTAGAGCAACAGCACAGAACGCTGTGAATGGCAATGTTTCCGTCCGCTTCGCAATTTTCTAAATATATCTAATCGTATTTATTTAAATATGTTTTTCATTTAAAGTGTCCTAATTTTAGTTTTGTTATAGATAAACTACCGGTCTATTTATATTTAACGGAAAAACAGTCCGTTGCGTTAAAAATTAATCCACAATTTTGTTCGCTTCTTACACACTACTACTTCTTACAATTGCACACATTTTAGTCTTAAGTCACTAATTAGTGTGCTGAGTAAACATTACGAACCAGTTAGTTGCAACTAGCGACATAAATCATAAATAAATATGTGATTGTTCGGGACAAAAGATCGACAATGAATGGCATTTCTTGGCGTTATCGGGTAAGCGCACGCGCTCCGCCCGCCGCTAACGCGTACGTCTCCGAGATTAGTTGATTTGTCGCCACGCGTCGCCACGTGCGCTCTGACTACCCTCCAAATAAGATTAACGGATTTGCACACTACAGATTGCACACGAATACGCAGGAAGTGTAAAGTGAAACGCCGGTAATGAAATCGTATAATGGAATGAAGGGAATAAAATAAAACATCTAGATAGAATTCCAAAACTCTGACAATGCATATCCGGTAAATAAAAAGCCGCTATCAATCTTTTGTTCTCTGAAAGGAAATTATATTTATAGTTTTTGTTGCCTAGATAAGTAAGTAGGCTGCGAAATTAAAACAAATTTATAACAATATGAAGGTACTACAACATATAAATACTAAAACTGCTGCCAGTTAGAACCACTACTCTATTACATTGAATGCGTACCACTTACTATATTTTAAAATTATGTTAAGTAGCAATAAACTGCACCGATGTTATATTTTGAAGTTATAATGAAAAAAATAATATTGTTATGGCAGTTACTTAATTTTGTTATTACTATTAGCATGTCACTATGTGATGAATTACCATTGTTATTCAATTTAGTTCCCATATACGTAGCAGATGTATCGAATTAAAGAATTAAAGAAATGAGCACATTAAAAACGCGGTCTTTGTATTGCCTTATTTTAATACGCAGTAATGCGGTTTTACCTACGTTAATTAAAACGATCGCCAATCTCCACTGTGTATCAAAAGATAAGGGATGCAGGCCGTAAAAGCATGATTTTGACGCGTGCGGTACTTTCTGATAAGAAACTCCCTTGGTACATTCACGTTTATGGCCAATTTATACAATACATTACCTAGACATTGAATAATTTAGGGTTGGGAAGCGGCAATAACTTGAACGTCATACTGGGGAAATTTTTAAAAGTTGGTTAGTTAGCTGTCTGTAGTTTACGCGAGTAGTACGCATTTAAATGACATGGGAGACATGTTTCTGGTTAGTGTGAAACGTCGCTTATTCGGAGACGTGGCAGAAACATTTCAATGTCCCTTTAATTTATCGATTTTATTATAACATAAAAATCTATCTGTGTACCTTGAAATAATGCTTGCTTCACGACTTGTATAGGGATGGGATGTATTTTTAGAAAATCGCTTTCAAATTGTATTTTAACGCGTGTACCGTTACCACATTTTGAAAGTAAAGCTTTACTTTCGGTAACCTCATCATCACCAGCATCTACTGCTTGACGTAAGCCAAAACTTGTCACACTCAGCCATTTTTGGCGGTTCCTCTTTTTAGGTCCTCCGTGGACTTTCGTTGTTGGATGGATTCAGAATATTGCTTTCATTATGGTTTATTCAGCTAAAACATAGAGAGAGACAAGTTTAGGTTTATTTGGTGGCAGATAAAATACCCCAGCCATGTAACACAAGACACGCTGTCGTAATATTTCGCTCTGAACATTCGGAACTCCACAGACAAATGAAGGAGATAGAAACATTCCGTTGGTTGAGTCGGTGGAGATCGAACCACTGCTGTGTTGTATTTAATGTACTTGCCAACCTGATTGTCCAGATTTCCTGACGAAGTCAACTTATTTCAGAAAAAATATAAATTCTTCCAATGGGGATTGAAGCCACGACCCGTTGATTAATGATAAGCCATTGCTTTTAACTTGTAGATCTTGACGACGTTTGTCATGATGGGTCTTACAGAACCTGACCCGATTACCTTTTGATCTTATTATTTATTATAATTATACTTGACTCTGTTTGCCCACCAGTGTCATGCCAAAGTATCCTGGCTTAGCACGTCGTATTAGCCAAATAAATCTATATAAATCGACTCTCGAGAACAAAGCGTGGCTTCTAATAGACATTAATACAACATTAGCTGTAAGGGCGACGGCACACGGCGTAGACGCCTTGTTTGCTAAACTGCCCTAATCCACTATTTGTAGTTTCGTGGTAGCCACTCTGTTGGATTTTGTGGGACAAATTTGAAAGTGTAAATAAAAGTGTTACGATGCGTTTTTATTGAAATAGACTAAAATTGCAGAAAAGCTAGGAAGAATATTACACTGTAAAATATTTCAACGTGGTTTTTAGTATCAAAACATATATATACATAGATAATGCATGTCTTGCAAATAATACATACAATTAATTCATTATTTATTAGTTGAAAGAGGGTTTGTTTACCTTAAAAATTTAGGAACTCTTTTTATTCCATTTTAAATTTAGATGTAGTAAGATTATTTCCCCGACCGAAGGTCTACTGTGTGTGAATTCCCGTTTCCCCGGGGGGATATATGGGACATGGGACGAACATATTTCTGTGCCCGTTTTACTGATTGATTTTATTTATAGGCAAGTAGTTGATCAGACTTCTATGCCCTGCCTGACCGAAATTAAAAAATATTATTACCCCGGGATTCGAACCCCGGACCTCTTACGCATTACACACTGCTAGGCAACCACAAGCTGACAGAGGCGGTCACTTAAGACATATTTAAGAGAAGGTCTACTACTACTCCTTAAATATGTCTTTTAAATGGATAAATTTTTCCTAATAGATAATAGATGGAACAAAAATAAATAGTTGAACTTGAAATATTACAACATGACACGTTTTAGCAAGTAATTAATTTAGTAATTTTCAAAATGTAAAAAATCTGAAAATATTGAAATTTGAAATAATTTAAATATTTTCACACTTAATGAGAAAGTTGAAAGGAAAACGAAAATAATTTATTATTAATCACAAATGTTCTGGGACATATAATTTTAGTGCAATATCCATCTAATGCGATTTACCAAAACATGGCCACCCCAGTTATAGCTGAAGGCCGCTTAACTTCTGAGAGGAAATCCTTTTCCCACGAGCTTTATTCAAACATATGTAAAGCGTATGATGGATGACGCCGACGCCGCCCCAAACGGGGGTTAGCCGTTTAAATCACCATCATTTGGGACCCCAAAATTTTTCTCTGGTCACCGATACAACGGCGAAATTTATAATGTAATGGATATGAGCTAATTCGATGAAAGAGTTCAAATGGCACACGACAAAGTGATTGCGCATTTTTTAAACTAACTTATTGTTATAAGGCCAGATTACGTTACATTTCCCAGGATACTGACTACTGTACAAACTGTTCGTTTATTTTATCTAGTCTGGATATTGATGTCTCACTTAGATTATAATTTTCTACATAAATTAAAAATCTATTTAGATTGGAAAACAATACAACACGGGTTGGACTTAAACTGGCATCCACGACGTTTAGCTATAACCAAAAAAAATCAATCTTGATAGATATTTAAATTATATAATGCCATAATGTGAAAAATATTATAGTTTTTTAATGCTTACATGATTCACTTAAGTCTATAGTTATTTTGTCACCACGTGGGTAGGTTTAGTTATTCATTTCAGTGCTTTGATATTATTACTAATTGACGTTTTTCATATACCATATTATATTAGTTACTTTAAACTAAGTAGTACATTCTTAAAACTATAAACTTTGATAGCAAAATTGTATGAGCGATTACGATTTTATTTAGCAATAAGTCGTTAATCAAACTATTTGTATTGTTTCGTAGCTTCTACTGCTTCTAATGCTCAACTATTATGCCGAACTGCGAAAAACAGTCGATTTAAAGGCATGGAAAATGCAATAATTTCAATTTCCTACCGTTCTTTGAGTTTGCTAAAACACCATTGCATTTTTCATCGTCAAAAAACGAATCATCTTTTTCATTTTGGCTCATGCGTAACGAATTTATGACCGAGACTTAGCAATTCACTTGCTACGAATCACGACTAATATTTCCCAAAATCAAACTCGACGGAGACGCAAAGACAGAGTTGAGACGTCAAAGTTTTCCCATTACGTGGTTCGCAGACATTAGCGGCTCGCTTAGTCTCATTAAAATTTGTCTTCTCCCACGTACACGGGCAACTTCTAAATGGATGTAGGAACTAAGTGAAACTCGGCTGACGCGAAAACTTTCCCGCGTTTTTGGCGAACGCTTTTTTTCGCCATCAATTTCGCGAGACGTCAGGAAGATTTTTCGCACTCGGAAAAAAGAGTAATTTAAGTTTTCGCGAAGTCGTTGCGTGGGAATTATGATCTTTGTTCTTGAAGTTTGATTGATTCTTCCAGTTTTCAGTTTGCGGATTAAAGTTATATTTCAATTTTGAAATAATATCTACTTGCTTAGTAA